TCTGACCATCATGGTCACAGAAACACCTTCCAGGAGGTCTGAGGTCCACCTCCTCTCAGCGGGGAGGTCCACCTCCTCTCAGCGGGGAGGTCCACCTCCTCTCAGCGGGGAGGTCCACCTCCTCTCAGCGGGGAGGTCCACCTCCTCTCAGCGGGGAGCAGGAGGTCTGAGGACCTCCAGGGCGCTGATGTCATCACTCCTTGCTTTCCTCATAGACGTTTTCTTCAGAGCCAAATGAGGCGTTTCTATCGGCAGCGACTGAACCTGAGCAGGAAGAACCTCCTTCAGCTTCTGATTGGCTCCACGTCTTCAGCAGCGTTCCCATGGAAACGCATAGAAAACTGGCTAAACATAAACACATCATTCTGACTTTTAGAGTCTATTTAAGGTCATTATCAGATGCAGTTATAAACCAAAACTTTACTTTATGACTTTAAAAATCTGTTCAGATCCAAATCATCACTTTATTCTCATAATTCAAGCTTTCAGTCATTTTACTGACTTCATAATTATCATCAACATGTGACTTTTGCTTTTCTCTGGAGTGACACATCTGGGCTTCCATAGTTTTCCTGACCTGCTGACGGTCAGTGTTAGGAAGGGGGGGTGGGTCATGGCAGACCTTTATTTTGAAGTTTCCTGTAGCGTGAGGCGGGCTGTCGATGTTAGATCACCAAATGTGCACTTTTTCACGTTGATTGTTCTGTTTCATCACCGCCTCACAGCACAACCCTGACTGGCCACTGCTGCGATGATGTAACAGCTGCTGCTACTCCTGATTGGTCCTCAGCAAACCAGCTCAATAGGCAATGAAAAACCAAACATGTGCTGTTTTTATTTCCGTGGTGCTGCAGACCAACATCTGGTTCTTCTTTTATATTTGTCACAGATCAAAGCTCTCGTTTGTTTCTCATCTTTTCTGCTTCGTTCTGTTATTTCAATAAACCGACTTCATGAACTGTTGCTGAAGCACGATGGTTTTTTTAAGCTCAAGAAGAAAGAGATGGTTCTGTGGTACTGGGAACACTGGTCAGGAACCATTTAAAACACAGTGATTTAGTTTAGTTTTAAACACCAGATTAGAGGGTTTGTGTTCCAGATGTTCCACATGTGCAGGAAGACTTTATAAAAAGATCAATAGAACCAAATCCCACAGAAACAAACCGGTCTGGACCTGGATGCCACCTGTTGTGGACAGGAGACAAAATAATAATCCAGGGATTATCGACTTAATGAAGGCATGTGGAGATTATTAATCCAGAGGATTATTGACTTAATGAAGGCATGTGGAGATTAATAATCCAGAGGATTATTGACTTAATGAAGGCATGTGGAGATTAATAATCCAGAGGATTATTGACTTAATGAAGGCATGTGGAGATTAATAATCCAGAGGATTATTGATTTAATGAAAGCATGTGGAGATTATTAATCCAGAGGATTATTGACTTAATGAAGGCATGTGGAGATTATTAATCCAGAGGATTATTGATTTAATGAAGGCATGTGGAGATTATTAATCCAGAGGATTATTGGTTTAATGAAGGCATGTGGAGATTAATAATCCAGAGGATTATTGATTTAATGAAGGCATGTGGAGATTAATAATCCAGAGGATTATTGACTTAATGAAGGCATGTGGAGATTAATAATCCAGAGGATTATTGACTTAATGAAGGCATGTGGAGATTAATAATCCAGAGGATTATTGACTTAATGAAGGCATGTGGAGATTAATAATCCAGAGGATTATTGACTTAATGAAAGCATGTGGAGATTATTAATCCAGAGGATTATTGACTTAATGAAGGCATGTGGAGATTAATAATCCAGAGGATTATTGACTTAATTAAGGCATGTGGAGATTAATAATCCAGAGGATTATTGACTTAATGAAGGCATGTGGAGATTAATAATCCAGAGGATTATTGACTTAATGAAGGCATGTGCAGATTAATAATCCAGAGGATTATTGACTTAATGAAGGCATGTGCAGATTAATAATCCAGAGGGTTATCGACTTAATTAAGGCATGTGGAGATTAATAATCCAGAGGATTATTGACTTAATGAAGGCATGTGCAGATTAATAATCCAGAGGGTTATCGACTTAATGAAGGCATGTGCAGATTAATAATCCAGAGGGTTATCGACTTAATGAAGGCATGTGGAGATTAATAATCCAGAGGATTATTGACTTAATGAAGGCATGTGGAGATTAATAATCCAGAGGATTATTGATTTAATGAAGGCATGTGGAGATTAATAATCCAGAGGATTATTGACTTAATGAAGGCATGTGGAGATTAATAATCCAGAGGATTATTGACTTAATGAAGGCATGTGGAGATTAATAATCCAGAGGATTATTGACTTAATGAAGGCGTGTGCAGATTAATAATCCAGAGGGTTATCGACTTAATGAAGGCGTGTGCAGATTAATAATCCAGAGGGTTATCGACTTAATGAAGGCATGTGCAGATTAATAATCCAGAGGGTTATCGACTTAATGAAGGCATGTGGAGATTAATAATCCAGGGGATTATTGACTTAATGAAGGCATGTGGAGATTAATAATCCAGAGGATTATTGACTTAATGAAGGCATGTGGAGATTAATAATCCAGAGGATTATTGACTTAATGAAGGCGTGTGCAGATTAATAATCCAGAGGGTTATCGATTTAATGAAGGCATGTGCAGATTAATAATCCAGAGGGTTATCGACTTAATGAAGGCATGTGGAGATTAATAATCCAGGGGATTATTGACTTAATGAAGGCATGTGGAGATTATTAATCCAGAGGATTATTGACTTCTAGAATTTCCTTCTTTCATCTGAGGAACATTGCAAAAATTAGAAATATCCTGTCCAGGGGTGATGCTGAGAAACTAGTCCATGCATTTGTTACTTCAAGGCTGGACTATTGTAATTCTTTACTATCAGGAAGTCCACAAACTGTAGTTAAAAGCCTTCAGCTGATCCAAAATGCTGCAGCCAGAGTTCTAATGAAAATTAAAAAGAGAGATCATATCTCTCCTATCCTGGCTTCTCTTCATTGGCTTCCTGTTAAATCCAGAATAGAATTTAAAATCCTCCTCCTCACATATAAAGCCTTAAATGGCCAAGCTCCATCTGATATCAGAGATCTGATTGTTCCTTATGTTCCTAACAGAGCACTTCGCTCTCAATCTGCAGGTTTACTAGTGGTTCCTAGAATTTCTAAAAGTAGAATGGGAGGCAGATCTTTTAGTTCTCAGGCTCCTCTCCTGTGGAACCAACTACCAGTTTTAGTCCATGAGGCAGACACCCTGTCTACTTTTAAGGCTAGGCTTAAAACTTTCATTTTTGATAAAGCTTATAGTTAGGGTGGCTCAGGTTATCCTGATCTATCTCTATAGTTCTGCTGCTATAGGCTTAGACTGCTGGAGGACATAGGGACCCCCATTTCATCATTCTGCTTCATTCTCTCTCTGTTCTCCTATTCTGCAGAATCTGTTAGTTCAATCTCTAACCTTCTGCTCTCTCTGCTTTTCCTCAGAGTAGCTTTGCCTCGTCTGTTCCTGTTTGGCTGTGACGTCATCCTGGAAAAAAACATCAGCTGTGCTGCTTCTATCAACACCCTTGTTAATAGATGTTGGAGATCGGCCTGTTTTCCAGTGTGGTCCTGTTTCTCTGACCGTGACTGAGTGGATGTGCTCTCTTCATCCTCTGGCATGGGAGCTGCCTTGGAGCTCGTCTGCCTGGCTGTGTGTTTCCTGGACGGGGCCGCCTTTTACAGCTGCTTTTTGTATCTCTGCTTCTGTCTCCTTGAACCCCAGTCGGCCTCGGCAGATGGCCGCTCACACTGAGCCTGGTTCTGCTGGAGGTTTCTTCCTGTTAAAAGGGAGTTTTTCCTCTCCACTGTCGCTACAAGCATGCTTAGTGTGGGGGATTGTATTTGAGTCAATGAGTCAATGCAATCAACTGGTTTTCCTTAGATAGAAAACTTTGTATCAATTTGACTGTATGATCTGGTTGAACTGTAAAGTGCCTTGAGATGACATGTGTTGTGAATTTGGCGCTATAGAAATAAACTGAATTGAAATTGAATTGAATTGAATTAATAATCCAGAGGATTATTGATTTAACGAAGGCATGTGGAGATTATTAATCCAGAGGATTATTGACTTAATGAAGGCATGTGGAGATTAATAATCCAGAGGATTATTGACTTAATGAAGGCATGTGGAGATTAATAATCCAGAGGATTATTGACTTAATGAAGGCATGTGGAGATTAATAATCCAGAGGATTATTGACTTAATGAAGGCATGTGGAGATTAATAATCCAGAGGATTATTGATTTAATGAAGGCATGTGGAGATTAATAATCCAGAGGATTATTGACTTAATGAAGGCATGTGGAGATTAATAATCCAGAGGATTATTGACTTAATGAAGGCATGTGGAGATTAATAATCCAGAGGAGCTGTGAAAGGAACCAAGGCATGGCTGGGAGTTCTGGTACCAAGATGAAGAATGAACAGACATTCAGGAAGGAGCTCATAAAAATAAAATAATCCGTTTAAACCAGGAGGACAGAAGGAGCAGCAGCTTCTGTCTGATCTGATCTTTAATCGAGGATTTTAACGATCAGATTAAGTTCTCCAGAAAATCCATAAAAGAATGAAAAAATGCGTGAAGGTTGAGTCCGTGGTTGTTGCTGTGAGGCTCAATCAGAGCTCAGCGCTGATCTCCGGTCAGGCTCCGCCTCTTCATGTTAGACCCCGCCCATCACCTGCTCCTGAGGCTCCTCCCCCTCCATAGGTCGGCCTGGAAAGAAAACAGCTGCTGGTTCCGCTGAGGTCAAACATGCAGAATGCGGTGGTGGAGGGCGATGACCTCACCTGCCCGCTGCTGATGGCGCTGTGTGACGTCACCGCGATCATCATCCGGGGGCCAGCGGAGCTCCCCGCTCTCCACATCACCTGAGTCTGTCGGCTCCACCACGATGGAAGGGAGCCGCCTGGAGAGTTTTGGAGCACGGTCCTTTGATTCTGGAAACACCTGGAGAGCAGAACCAGGAGAGGGCCAATCAGGACGCAGCTCCTGAGGGTCTCACCTGTTGGGTGGAGGAGGAGTTCACCTTCTTCCAGAGGAAACGCCCCTTTTTAGATCAAACGGTCCCTCAGATCTTTGGGAAGATTTCTAAAAAGTTCATCCAAAAAAAATTAATCCTAGAATCTGTCAAATGAATTAATTATAAACTAATAAACTCCTTTATTTATAGAAAGAACATGATGTCACTATGATTGTTCTTTTGTTTTATTGTTTATCTGCATCCTTATTTAAAATCACAGATTGAACTAACAGATTCTGCAGAGTGGGAGAATAGACATAGAATGAAGCAGAATGAGGAAAAAGGGGTCCCTATGTCCTCCAGCAGTCTAAGCCTATAGCAGCATAACTATAGAGATAGATCAGGATAACCTGAGCCACTCTAACTAGAAGCTTTATCAAAAAGGAAAGTTTTAAGCCTAGCCTTAAAAGTAGACAGGGTGTCTGCCTCACGGACTAAAACTGGTAGTTGGTTCCACAGGAGAGGAGCCTGAGAACTAAAAGATCTGCCTCCCATTCTACTTTTAGAAATTCTAGGAACCACTAGTAAACCTGCAGATTGAGAGCGAAGTGCTCTGTTAGGAACATCAGGAACAATCAGATCTCTGATATCAGATGGAGCTTGGCCATTTAAGGCTTTATATGTGAGAAGGAGGATTTTAAATTCTATTCTGGATTTAACAGGAAGCCAATGAAGAGAAGCCAGGATAGGAGAGATACGATCTCTCTTTTTCATTTTCATCAGAACTCTGGCTGCAGCATTTTGGATCAGCTGAAGGCTTTTAACTACAGTTTGTGGACTTCCTGATAGTAAAGAATTACAATAGTCCAGCCTTGAAGTAACAAATGCATGGACTAGTTTCTCAGCATCACCCCTGGACAGGAGATTTCTAATTTTTGCAATATTCCTCAGATGAAAGAAGGAAATTCTAGAAACCTCTTTGATCTGGGATTTAAATGACAGGTCCTGATCAAAAATAACACCAAGATTTTTTACTTTATTATCTGAAATCAGTTTAATCCCATCCAAATGAAGTGACTGACTAATCAGTTTCTTTTTCAGAGACTCTGGTCCAAAGACTATAACTTCTGTTTTGTCTGCATTCAGAAGCAGAAAGTTAAGAGTCATCCAGGTTTTTATGTCTTCAAACATGCCTGTAATCTATGTAATGGGTTAGCTTCATCTGGATTATAGACAGATATAGCTGGGTATCATCAGCATAACAGTGGAAATTAATCCCATGCTGCCTAATAACTCTACCGATTGGGAGCATGTATAAAGTAAAGAGAATTGGTCCTAGCACTGATCCCTGTGGTACTCCCATCATGATGAAGTGCTTCTAAAGGCTGGTTACAGAACATCGTCTCCAGTCTCCCCCCAACATTCGACCCGTTCCAGCTCGCCTACCAATGGAACCGCTCCACTGAGGACGCCGTCTCCTCCCCTGCTGTTCACCCTGATGACGTACGACTGCGTCCCCAGGTTCAAGGTTTAAAGCTCTGAACATCCAGATCAAAGCGTTTTATCCTCCATGTTTTTTCTCCCACTTTGTTTACATCTGATCACTGCTGAACTTTATGGATGGAAACGTTCTGAAAGCTGCACTAAAATAAATTTCATTTTGTATACACTCTGTCTACAAAACGGCAATAAAAGTTGTCTAAGTCTAAATCTTAGCAACCGTCATCAGGCCTCACCTGTAAAGATGCTGCCTCCACCTCAGGAGCTCCGCCCACTGTGGGGTCACAAGAGTTCATTACCCTGTTGGTCATTCCAGCCAATCAGAGTTTAGGAAGCAGAGAACAGGGTGATGAGAGAAAGCTGATGGTTGCCTAGAGACCCTGGATGTCCTACAGGGACAGATGGACACAAAGAGCAGCATAAGTATTCATTCAATTCTATTCAGTCTATTTCTATAGCTCCAATTCACATCATGTCATCTCAGGTCACTTTCCAGTTCACCAGATCTTCTATCTAAGGAAAACCAGCTGGTTGCATCGACTCATTGACTCCAATGCATTAGCAGGCTTTCAGCTGCAGCTCAGGTTGGATGGACAACATCTCTAAACATCAGTTTTTAGCTCTTGCAACAAATCCCCGGTTGGATTTAGGACTTTGGATAGGCCATTGTTGGACCCTCCTACTACCAGTCTCTAGCTGCATGCTTAGTGTGGTTGAAATCAATGGCCAGAACCTGATCTCCACACCTGAGCAGTGCAGCTTCTCCAGAGTCGCCATGAGAAGAAGATTCTTCAGGCCAAACAGGCAAACGCTCATGGCCTCCAGGGGGCGGTGAAATCCCGTCATACTCTGTGGGGTCCAGTGCTGTTTGATGGTAGGTCTGGATTCATTTAGAGTTTAGGCTCCTTTGAAAACATCTTAGACTTGGAATTAAGCTCAGCTTTATTAATCTCTTTGGATTAGTCCTTCATGGAGATTCTGGTTTCAGTAGCTTATATAGAGAACAAAGAGTTAAAGCAAGACGCCATTAAAGTGCCGACCCTCGTCCCACTACCTATCACCCCCCCCCCCCCCCCCCCCTGTGGAGTTGCACAGCTTGATGGCCTGAGGAGGAAAGGAGTTCAACAGTCTGTTGCTCCTGCATTTGGGGAGCAGCAATCTCCCGCTGATCAGGCTCCTCTGAGTGGAGAAGACAGGGTGGCTGGCATTGTCCATAATGTCCAGCAGCGTCTTTGTCTCTACCACTGTCCCCACAGGGTCCAGCTTCCAGCCAATCACAGAGCTGGCTGGCCTCCCCAGTTGGTCCAGTCTGGAGGTGTCCTTCATGGAGGTGCTGCTCCCCCAGCACCACGGCGTAGGAGAGGACACTGGAAACCACAGACTGCTAGAACATCTGCAGATGTTGAAGGACCTCAGTCTCCTCAGGACGTCCATCTGCTCTGTGTCTTCCTGTCCAGGTGGTTGGTGTGTGTTGACCAGTCCAGTTTACTATCCACCCCATGAAACCACTGCCTCCACCTCAGCCCCCCCAGTCGTACCGGCTCAGTCTTTGCTCCCTTCCTCCCAAAGTCTGAAGACATCTGAAGACATTTAGAGGCATCTGGCAGCATCTGGCAGCATCTGGCAGCTTCTGGCAGCTTCTGGCAGCTTCTGGCAGCATCTGGCAGCATCTGGCCACATCTGGCCACATCTGGCAGCATCTGGCCACATCTGGCAGCATCTGGCAGCATCTGGCCACATCTGGCAGCATCTGGAGGACTGATGGTTCTTTCAGTGCTTCCGGTCTGCAGAGGCTTCAGACCTGAAACATTTGCTTCTTCCCACGGTGAATAGGAGCTGCGGCAGATTAAGAATTTGAATATTTTCCTGGAGCAGAGCCCAGACCACAGGTGGCAGACATGTTTCCTCCAGCAGGGGGCGCTGGATGGATGCAGGAGGATGAAAGTAGCAGTTCCACCAGATTCAGACGGTAAGTTAAACCTGTGGAAACTCCTGGATTATTTAACGCCTGTAATTCGCTCCTTTTTCCATAAGAGCCCGGGCAGCTGGGCTGTCACCATAGCAACCACACTGACATCATCTCAGACTGGTGTTTCTGCACTAACATGAGTCCCGTCAAAGAACAAAGACCAAAGCTGCTAACTTTGGGATGTGTGAAGGTGAAGCAAACAGAGAGTGACCAGAGGACCTACCTTCTAGTCTGGGATCCAAACCTGGAGACGAGTCTGAGTCTTCAGAGTCCTTCAGACCGACGGCTGCTGCTCTCTGATCCAGCTCCGCTGTCACTGTGTGTGTCAGACTGTGTGTGTCAGACTGTGTGTGTTTTGCATGCCTACCTGGTTTGTCTCTGAGCAGGATTTGCATGAAGCGCTGAGGGAGTGTCTGTTTGTTGTTTGGATGATGATGAAGCCCAAATCGACCCACATCTTCAAATCTAACGCGTAGAAGAAGTCGTTGCCCTGCTGACAGTTGGTCCCGTTTTCCTTCAGAGAGTAAAAGCATTCTGATGGGCGTCTAATGTGGTCTTTATAACGCTTTAGCAGATTTTCATCTATCCTGAAGTCAGAAACTGACTTTTCAGCTTCAATCATTTTAATCAAGTCTAACTAGATCCACTCAGAGTTGAACACGTGTTTGAAAAGCTTTATCAGTGGAGCGCCGATACCACCTGTCACCATGACAACAGGCAACAGGAAGTGCCCATTTCATCCCACTGGAACTAGAGATTTTAATACAGATATGAAAAAATAAAAATAAATAAAAAATGAAGAATGTGATTAAAAGACAGAGAAACAGCTGCAAAGGAGAGGAAGATGGAGGAGAAGATTGTTGCTCCAGTTAATGCCTTTATGGCAAGCCGTTTTTACATTTATTCAAAGCACTCTCCTCTCTGTTGTTCCGTTTGTAGATCACCAAAATAAGATTCTTCCTGATCAAAATCACACTCCTAGACTGAACTGTAATAATTCATTTTCTAAATTACATTTTTGTAGCAGAAACTGAACTTTAGAAAGTAAAAAAACTAATTTATACCAGTAAGAATTACATTTTTTATATATCCAGAAATATTTACACATTTTAATTTGCCGTTCTGACATTTATTAGCTGGACTGAAAATCTATTAATGAAATCTGAAAAACATTTTTTCATAGTTAAAATAATACAATTGCTGACCAGTAATATTAGGAATATGGAGATCTGAAATATATTTCTAGACATCCAGAATGTTTATTCTAGAGGTGGAGAATGTCTTTTTTTTTAATGGTCATTAAGACAAAAAAAAATGTTTTTCAGGAATACATAAACAGTAAAAATCAAAACTGCGTGCCATATTTGTCCTTAGCGTGAAAATATTTCAAGTTTTTATTTCTTGAATGGTAGTAGATCAATTGTTCTATTTAGGTGGAATCTTCTGGCAGAAGATGAGGAATAAAAACCTTATTCTAATTTATAGAACCTGTTCATCATCTCATGGGTTCCTCCTCATGTTGATTCAGTCTCTTTTACTCAGTGAATACTAAGCGAGTTATGATGATAATGTTAATGCTCAGCAGGTTGTTATTGAGGTAATCCTAATCCTAATCCTAAAGTAATTATATATATATGAGTAACCTGAAATCATTTCAGTTGTGCTTCCTGTAATGTAAATATAACTAAATAAAAATAAAATCTCCTCTCCTGTCACTGAGTTGTAGAATCCTCTCTCTATAAATATTTAATTCTCTGTGAATTAAAGCCGATCATTCTATGATAATCGTCAAACAAAGATGCAATGTTTGATTATAAAACCTGATGGGTTAGGGATAGGGTCAGGGTCAGGGTCAGGGATAGGGTCAGGTTCAGGGTCAGGGTTAGGGTTAGGGATAGAGTGATCAGCTGTGAGGAGAGCGGAGACGCTGAGTTTGCTGCAGAAAATCTGCTGCTGACCAGGATAGCTCTGGGAGGATGTTACTATGGCAACAGAAACAGGAAGAGGAAACAGTTTCCCTGATTTCCTGTCATCATCTCTGTGTTCTGCTGCTGAAGGTGGATCCTCCTTCATACCTCGTTTTAGTCAGCTCTTTATGATCTACATCTATTCTAGGAGGAATAGATCTAGGTCTGGGGAGGGGGGTGGGGGGGTGGAGGAGTTGAAACGAAAGTGAAAGGTTCCTGAATGCAGCAGCTGCTGTAACCTGATATTCAGTCGCTCTCTGCTGCTGAGTGAAGCTCCTGGTGCTTCAGTCAGAGAAGATCTGCTTCGGTTTCTGAAGCCCTGAACCAGAACCAGAACCGGAACCAGAACCAGAACCAGAACCAAACATGTGGAGGAGATTTGTTCCCAGGAGCAACCACAGTAAGATGATGATGATGATGGTGATGATGATGATGATTTTGGTGATGATGATGATGGTGATGATGATGATGATGATGTGATGATGATGATGATGATGATGATGATGATGATGATGATGATGATGATGATGATTTTGGTGATGATGATGATGGTGATGATGATGATGATGATGATGATGTGATGATGATGATGATGATGTCATATAATCTAAGGGGTTAGTTTGCCCTTTCAAAATAATTCAGGTACTTTTCAAAATAAAATCATTTTTGATAACCTGTTTTTAGATTCCAGTTTTTCAACATAATTTTAACTAAACCTGATGCTGAAATCGAAGGAAGGATATTAGTAGTTTCAGAATAAAACGATCAATTATTCTAGAGATAATTCTATTCAGTATATTTCTATAGCTCCAATTCACATCATGTCATCTCAGGTCACTTTATAGATCCAGATCAACCAGATCATCCAGTCAGATTGATTCAAAGTTTTCTATCTAAGGAAAACCAGCTGATTGCATCGACTCATTGACTCTTCAGCAATCCCTCACACTAAGCATGCTTGTAGCGACAGTGGAGAGGAAAAACTCCCTTTGAACAGGAAGAAACCTCCAGCAGAACCAGGCTCAGTGTGAGCGGCCATCTGCTGAGGCCCACTGGGGTTCAAGGAGACAGAAGCAGACATACAAAAAGAAGCATAGATACAAAAGGCAACTGTCAACCAGCTCCACAGGCGGCCCCGTCCAGGAAACACACAGCCAGGCAGACGAGCTCCGAGCCAGCTCCCATGTCAGAGGATGAAGAGAGCACATCCAGTTAGTCACAGTCAGAGAAACAGGACTACACTGGAAAACAGGCCAAGCTCCAACATCTAGAAACAAAGGTGTTGATGGCAGCAGCACAGCTGATATTTCTCTCCAGGATGGAGTCACAGCCAAACAGGAACAGACCAGATGAAGCTACTATGAGAAAAAGCAGTGAGAGCAGAACGTTAGAGATTGAACTAACAGATTCTGCAGAGTGGGAGAATAGAGATAGAATGAAGCAGAATGATGAAAAAGGGGTCCCTATGTCCTCCAGCAGTCTAAGCCTATAGCAGCATAACTATAGAGATAGATCAGGATAACCTGAGCCACTCTAACTAGAAGTTAACCGAGGTTCCACTTTATGGACCCAAACCAGGCGTGAAGAACCGTTGTCTGCTGGTCTATCTAGATACAGGAGGAGGTCCGAGTCGTCAGAACTAGTCTCACATTTCAATGGTGTTTTAATTATTAGCAGAAAGATCTTCATTCAGGAACATCTGGGTCCAGGAAACCATGACATGATCCAGAGAGGATTTGGAAGCAGAGCAGAATGTTATGGAGGAGATTGGATCAGCAGACAGCTTAGCTGGCCACCAGAGGGCAGTAGTGGTGGCATCACAGCCTGTGAGCATCAGGCTGAAGGTCAGCTGTAAAGGAGCTGTGATCAGGCTGCTTCCAGAACCCAGCTGGAGACACCTGAGCTGCTTCTGTCCAATCAGATGGAGGCGGTCTGGACATCTTTCTGTAGTAGAGCAACATAGAGATCTGATGTGAAATAAACCACATTTAATCATTTAAACTTTTCCCCCAATTGGAGTTATTTTTATGGCAGCCCCTCTGCTCCTCTAACCCCGCCCTCGCCGCCGCCTCTAACCCCGCCCTCGCCGCCGCCCAGCAGACTGAGCCGGTCGGAGCCATGAAAGCAGGTAGGTCGGAGCTGCGGTCCAACTTTACTGGGTTTTCGGTTCGGGAGGCTGATGCTGATATAGATCAGGCTGTTCTAACTCCTCTTCCTCTTCAAAGCCGCTTTATCATCAGAACCAGAACCGGTTCCGGTTCCGGTTCAGGTTCTGTCAGTGGCGGACTAAACCGTATCAAAGATTCAGATCCTGAAAACGTCTTTAATGATTTATTGTGATGATTTCAGTGATGATCTGAACATGATCCATCCTACATAGATTGGTTCTGTCTGCAGCATCTTTGGGGCTGGATTCTAATCTGGACATTTCTAGAAGCTGCTATCTTTTATTTTTTCTTATGATTGTTAATATTTCAGAAGCTCTAAACATTAAACAGGTTAAACTTTGAATTTGTTTATAATGTTGATATTTCACATATTAATTGATTGATTAATTAATTACTTTCCGGCTCCTCAATGTTGAGAATCAGTGCAGAAAATAGAAAGTTAGATTTCCTCCATTTATTGTCTGCATGAAGACTTGATGATCAGAAGCAGCTTTGATCTGTTTAGATGAAGAATAAAAGTTTGATTATTTATTTACTTTGATGAAAATCATGGAAGCTGTGAGATTATTTCTGCTGTTCCTCATGATGGCCGCTGTAGATATCCTCCTCATAGATAATAGATCTAGATCCTCCTCATAGATAATAGATCTAGATCCTCCTCCATAGATAATAGATCTAGATCCTCCTCCATAGATAGTTAGATCTAGATCCTCCTCCATAGATAGTTAGATCTAGATCCTCCTCCATAGATAGTTAGATCTAGATCCTCCATAGATAATTAGATATAGATCCTCCTCCATAGATAATTAGATCTAGATAACCTCCTCATAGATAGTTAGATCTAGATCCTCCTCCATAGAGAGTTAGATATAGATCCTCCTCCATAGATAATTAGATCTAGATAACCTCCTCATAGATAGTTAGATCTAGATCCTCCTCCATAGAGAGTTAGATATAGATCCTCCTCCATAGATAATTAGATCTAGATAACCTCCTCATAGATAATAGATCTAGATCCTCCATAGATAATTAGATATAGATCCTCCTCCATAGATAATTAGATCTAGATAACCTCCTCATAGATAATTAGATATAGATCCTCCTCCATAGATAGTTAGATATAGATCCTCCTCCATAGATAGTTAGATCTAGATCCTCCTCCATAGATAGTTAGATCTAGATCCTCCATAGATAATTAGATATAGATCCTCCTCCATAGATAATTAGATCTAGATAACCTCCTCATAGATAGTTAGATCTAGATCCTCCTCCATAGAGAGTTAGATATAGATCCTCCTCCATAGATAATTAGATCTAGATAACCTCCTCATAGATAATAGATCTAGATCCTCCATAGATAATTAGATATAGATCCTCCTCCATAGATAATTAGATCTAGATAACCTCCTCATAGATAATTAGATATAGATCCTCCTCCATAGATAGTTAGATATAGATCCTCCTCCATAGATAGTTAGATCTAGATCCTCCTCCATAGATAATTAAATCTAGATCCTCCTCCATAGATAGTTAGATCTAGATCCTCCTCCATAGATAATTAGATCTAGATCCTCCTCCATAGATCAGATCTAGATCCTCCTCCATAGATAATTAGATCTAGATCCTCCTCCATAGATAATCCTCCTCAATAGATAATAGATCTATATCCTCCTCCATAGATAATTAGATCTAGATCCTCCTCCATAGATTAAAGATCTAGATCCTCCTCAATAGATAATTAGATCTAGATCCTCCTCCATAGATAATTAGATCTAGATAACATCCTCCATAGAAAATTAGATATAGATCCTCCTCCTCTCACCTATTTATAGACAGAGATGGGAAGTCTACTCAAGTAGATTTTTCTGATATTTTTACTTTACTTTACTACTTATTTTTATGGCGACTTTTTACTTCTACTCCTTACATTTTTACACAAATATCTGTACTTTCTACTCCTTACATTTTAAAAAATTGTCTCGTTACTTTAGTTTTGAATCATTTCAATGGAGTTACCGTTATTATTTTTCACGTCATCAATACCAAATTCAATCTAATTGGATGGGAATCTACGTTGCATTTGACGCACCACTACAAGATGAATCGACAGATTCGGCGGTATTCATTGGCGGCAAATCATTGCAGCTTGGTGGCGGTGGCGTTAGCATAGTAGCATGGACGACGAGATGATTGAAAATGAACACAACGGAGATCTAGTCCTATTGGCAGACATCCATTTAAAATGTAGGCAACGGCATGAAAAAAGTGGTTTCTACTTTTACTTTTATACTTTAAGTAAATTTACAAGCCTGTACTTTGTTACTTTTACTTGAGTAAAGAAGTTTAATCAGTACTTCCACTTTTACCAGAGTATTTTTTAACACAAGTATCTGTACTTTTACTCAAGTACGGAAAGTGAGTACTTTTGCCATCTGTGTTCATAGATAATTAGATGTAGATCCTCCTCCATAGATAATGAGATCTAGATCCTCCTCCATAGATAATTAGATCTAGATCCTCCTCCTCTCACCTATTCATAGATAATTAGATCTAGATCCTCCTCCTCTCACCTATTCATAGATAGTTAAATGTAGATCCTCCTCCTCTCACCTATTCATAGATAATTAAATGTAGATCCTCCTCATTCATACCTTTTCAGGTTAGCAGCCTTTTATCAGCATTTATTCATCAGGCTGTCTTAGAGCAGCCGCCAGTGTTGAACAGGAAGCTGCAGTATTAGCCACGCCCACTAAGTAACCAGCCAATGGCCTCTTTTCGTCAAAATCTGCAGAATGCCGACATCATTATTTATTAAGTCGTTTATAAGCTTAACACTAATGAATCATTTAAAGAACAGGGTCTTTTTTTTAACTTTGCAGGATTTTCACTAAATGACTCTAAACTAATGAATCCTGAACTTCTCATGGCCTCCATCTATTTGATCTATTTCTGTTTTATTGACACCGTATCAGGGGGCGGACCCCGCCGCACGGAGAAGCCTGGTCTCTGATGCCTTCAGACGGTAACTGGGCTTTGTTGATGTTTGTGCAGCAGAAGAAGGCGAGGAGTCTGGAGGAACCCGGAGGAGGATTCCCAAACTGAAGATCTTTGCAAAGATCTGGAACAACCGCAAAGCCAAGAACCAGGATGGAGGTGAGCAGCAGCTGCTGCTGCAGGTGGGGGCGTCTCCTCTGCCTCCATCTCTATTCATTCACTGGATACCTGCTCATTAGTACATGGTGCTGTGAAGCCACCGGCCGCCATATTGGTACTCCCTCGTTAGATGGTCAGGATGTAAACAATCTGCGCTGCAGCATCGAACAACCAGGATGTTCTCATTTTCAGAGACTTAAGACTTTTACAATAAGGATAAATTCATCGCTTTGACACAGACTGACTGTTTCATAGCATTAGTAGATTAATTTAACTTAGAATTAATAAATATTTCCATCTCATTGTAGAGTCATTAGAAAGTCAATGAAGTCTATAAATCAGGTAAAATAACCAAATGAAAACACTGCAGATTTGCACCATGTAAATATTAGATCATTTTTTTGCTCCATGTTTTTTCTCCCACTGTTTCCATTTGATCACTGCTGAACTTGAAGGAATTGAAATGTTCTGAGAGCTGCAATAAACAAAATGTTGTTTTCTAAACATTCTGTTTACAAAATGAAAATAAATGTTATTTAAGTCTAAGTCATGATCTTGGCACTGATGACTGGATTATTAGTTCCTTCCATCCACCTGCCTCGCTCCTCCAGGTGTTCATTAGTTCCTTCCATCCACCTGCCTCGCTCCTCCAGGTGTTCATTAGTTCCTTCCATCCACCTGCCTCGCTCCTCCAGGTGTTCATTAGTTCCTTCCATCCACCTGCCTCGCTCCTCCAGGTGTTCATTAGTTCCTTCCATCCACCTGCCTCGCTCTTTCAGGTGTTCAATAGTTCCTTCCATCCACCTGCCTCGCTCCTCCAGGTGTTCATTAGTTCCTTCCATCCACCTGCCTCGCTCTTTCAGGTGTTCAATAGTTCCTTCCATCCACCTGCCTCGCTCCTCCAGGTGTTCATTAGTTCCTTCCATCCACCTGCCTCGCTCCTCCAGGTGTTCATTAGTTCCTTCCATCCACCTGCCTCGCTCTTTCAGGTGTTCAATAGTTCCTTCCATCCACCTGCCTCGCTCCACCAGGTGTTCATTAGTTCCTTCCATCCACCTGCCTCGCTCCTCCAGGTGTTCATTAGTTCCTTCCATCCACCTGCCTCGCTCCTCCAGGTGTTCATTAGTTCCTTCCATCCACCTGCCTCGCTCTTTCAGGTGTTCAATAGTTCCTTCCATCCACCTGCCTCGCTCCTCCAGGTGTTCATTAGTTCCTTCCATCCACCTGCCTCGCTCCTCCAGGTGTTCATTAGTTCCTTCCATCCACCTGCCTCGCTCCTCCAGGTGTTCATTAGTTCCTTCCATCCACCTGCCTCGCTCCTCCAGGTGTTCAATAGTTCCTTCCATCCACCTGCCTCGCTCCTCCAGGTGTTCATTAGTTCCTTCCATCCACCTGCCTCGCTCCACCAGGTGTTCATTAGTTCCTTCCATCCACCTGCCTCGCTCCACCAGGTGTTCATTAGTTCCTTCCATCCACCTGCCTCGCTCCTCCAGGTGTACAGTAGTTCCTTCCATCCACCTGCCTCGCTCCACCAGGTGTTCATTAGTTCCTTCCATCCACCTGCCTCGCTCCACCAGGTGTTCATTAGTTCCTTCCATCCACCTGCCTCGCTCCACCAGGTGTTCAATAGTTCCTTCCATCAACCTGCCTCGCTCCACCAGGTGTTCAATAGTTCCTTCCATCCACCTGCCTCGCTCCACCAGGTGTTCATTAGTTCCTTCCATCCACCTGCCTCGCTCCACCAGGTGTTCAATAGTTCCTTCCATCCACCTGCCTCGCTCCTCCAGGTGTTCATTAGTTCCTTCCATCCACCTGCCTCGCTCCTCCAGGTGTTCATTAGTTCCTTCCATCCACCTGCCTCGCTCCTCCAGGTGTTCATTAGTTCCTTCCATCCACCTGCCTCGCTCCTCCAGGTGTTCATTAGTTCCTTCCATCCACCTGCCTCGCTCCTCCAGGTGTTCATTACCTTTCATCAGATGTTCCAGCTTTTACTTAAACTGTTTGCTCCCAGCCATCAGGGCCAGATTATTGGAGCCGTAGGTGAGAGTTCTCCAGCGTACCCAGTTTGTTACACTGATAACCTGATCCTGACTAGTTTCTGCTGACGGACCCATGAGCCCGGCTGCCCCGTTCTGATCTGTTTGCCTGACCCGTCTTCTTCCTGCTGGATTCCGTCTATAATGAACTTGGATCTGTCACCGGACCCCGGCTTGGATTTCCCTTCGGTTCCCTTTTCTGATCTCTGATCTTCTGTCCTGGACCTCTGCTTCCTCTTTGACACCGGCTTTGTATTCGCCTTCCGGATACTTAGGCTCGTCAGGCGGCTCTGCAGCCATCTTGGCTCCTGGAACTCTCCAGGCGGCTCCCGCCGCATGCTGAGGAATATTATTCCACTTTTTCCTCTGGACTCAGACTGAACTTTAAAACCAGGTTAGTGACTCACATGCAGGTCATCGTTCCTCGTCAGAGTTACATGGTCACTAACCTGCGTTTCTCCCTCCTCAGAGATTCCAGCCGTTTAGTCCTAGCTGACAAGACGCTGAGCAATTAAGAAACGCTTTTTATAAATCAATAACGTTCTGAATCCCGACAATAAAATATTATACAAATCAATCACAGCAAAAATGTTTTATTAACAAAGTGTGTTAATAGATAATAATAATACTATAATCAGGTACTAAGAATATTTCACTCACTCTCTGATGATTCATCAGCACATTTAATATAAACAATGACATTTTTATGCTAATTCCATATTATATTTGATTTCTAGATTTTATATCAAGGCTGAATTACAGCGTTGCATGTCTGGTGATGCTAATGCAGATTGTGCATGCATGTATATAACCCAGAAAACTGCTGCTGCACACTTCGGCTTTTTTATGCCACAACTGAGAGTAGGGAGTACCAAGATGGCGGCTGGTGACTTCAGTTTTCCCAGCCTAGAGGCGATCCAGTGATTAAATAGGGTTCATTGAGCTGAACCAGCGGCTGATGAAAGGTGGAGAAGCTGCTTCTTCTTTCTCTGTGTGGTGTCTTCTGCAGAGGAGCAGCTGGACGGTGTGCAGCAGGAGGAGGAACAACACGAGGAGCAGCTGGATGAGGTCACCAGGAGGCTGATCTTCAGGGAGGAGGAGCTCTTCAGCCAGGACGCTCCCAGTGAGGAGGAAGAAGACCAGCTGCAGAAAGACTTTGAATCTCTGAGTGTGCAGATCTGGATGGCTGTCCATGACACCTTCTCCCCTTCAGCTCCCTCTGGGGAGGTGCTGAGGAATGCCGTGGACTCCATCCAGCAGCAGGAGAAGCAGGACCAGCGCTGGAGAGAGCGTCCGAAGGAGAAGGTCCCCGTTTGGAGGCCTCAGAGGTGGCTGAGTTCTCACCACAAGCTGCTGCAGAAGATGGTGGAGGTCCGACTGTCAGAGGCTGCAGAGAGCGACTCAGCAGGCACCCAGCAGCTGTCCTCTGACGTCAAGAGGCAGGTGAGAACGCTCCGCTACCACGGCAACGCCCCCTGCTGTCCAGAGACCCGCCTTTTACAGCCTTAGACCCGTTCCAGGAAGTCCCAACAGAACCACTGGTTCTGAAACCACGTCCAGTCTGACCTGCCAACATGGCGGATCCACCGCAACAAGTCAGGAGACCAGCCGGGCGACCAGTCAGGCAATTAGTTGGGCGACCAGACGGGCAACCAGTCAGGCAACCAGTCAGGGACCAGTCAGGCGACTAGTCTGATGACTGAGGGAGTTTGTTGAGGACAGGAAGTCTGTCAGATCATGGCCATCTTGGTCAGGGGGGTGAAAGTTTCAGTTCAGAGGTAGAAGCCAGTCAGGGCGACCAGCCACACAACCAGTCGGGCAATCAGTCGGGCGACCAGCCAGGCCACAAGTCAGGCGACAAGTCAGGCAACCAGTCGGGGACCAGTCAGGAGACCAGTCGCCCTGACTGGTCCTGACTGGTCGCCCGGCTGGTCGCCCTGACTGGCTTCTACCTCTGAACTGAAACTTTCACCCCCCCTGACCAAGATGGCCATGATCTGATCTGATGGCGCCTGAACACCTCATGATGCATTTAAGGCTGCTGGTGATTGGACCTTCCTCCTGACTGGTTGCCTGGCTGATCTCCCAACTGATTGCCCGACCGGTCTCCTGACCGGTCACCAGTCAGCAGACCAGTCAGGCGACCAACTGGGCTACCAGTCAGGGCGACCAGTCGGGGCGACCAGTCAGGGACCAGTCATTAGACCAGTCGGGCATCAGTTGGGCGACCAGTCAGGCAACCAGCCAAGTGACCAGTCAGGGCAATCACCAGCAGCCTTCGATGCATCACGAGGCGTTCAGGTGCCGCTGTCACTGAGCCGCTCAGTGGGCCTCAGCTGAAGCCTTGGGGGCTTAAACCCTCACAGGAGGAAGCTTCTCTGACTCCGCCTCCTCTGGTCTTGTCAGGTGTGCCGTATGGGGAAGCGACTGAAGGAGGACCTCCTGATGGTGGCCAGGAAGGTGAAGGACTGTTACCCTGTGACCATGGACATCCTGAACGTCTACGGCGCCCTCTACCATCAGACCTTCTCTGCCCGGCTGGCCGCGCTGACGGCCGCCGGCCTGGACATCGACGACTGCAGCTACGTCCTGTTTTGGGTCAACCACTACTATCCTGAGTGAGTCTCTGCTGCCGGCAGCCATGTCTGGAACGAAGGGGCGGAGCTTCATCCGGCGCCACATCAGGAATGTGTCTGATATTCTTAGGTGCTCAGTGCTGACCTCTGCTGGTTGAAATTAGGATTTTAGACACTCCTCCATGTAGTGCTTTAATAAGAAGCATCCCCCACCATGATGCAGCCTCCACCCTGTTCTGAAAAAGCTGCTCGCTCCATAGAAGCAGAGCAGATGGCAGAACAACCGTTAAAAACGTTTTCCTTTTTGAGAAAAGAAGGGTTTCATGCTGATGTTCTCCAGGTGTTCGGTTCCTCCTGTGTCTCTGATTGTTTCTTTGTCTTCTAGGTTGATCTAAACGCCTTTCTTCGTTTTTACCTCTGCTTTAATGTTTCTCAGCTTCACTATATTTGTGTTTATTAGTTGTCCTCCCTCAGCCTCCCTGCCTTGGTTCTGACCCAGCTGCTCCACTGGGTCTCTGTTCTGGCGCTCGGTCCGGGCAGCTGATGGTCCTGAACGCTTCAGAAGAAGCTCCTCAGTCAGACCTGATTCTGAGAAACAAACAGGATCTATGTGCTGCGGCTCTGAGTGGGAAAGATCCCATTGGGTTAATAACAGGCGCATTCAGTCCTCTATCCAGTGCAGCTTTGTTTTCTTTCCTCTGAGTCATTCCTCTCTCTGCTTTCAGCCTTCCTGCTTCACAGACTCCATGTTTTTCTCTTCATAGGGAAGAAATTCAGTTGCTTCATTTCCTAAACTCATTAAAATGCAGAGAACGATCCAAACAGTTCAAGGCCGCATCCCAAAACACGACACGACCAAACCAGCAAGCGCTCTGCTAGAAAGTTCATGTCCAGAATCCACAATCAGTCCCCCCACCCCCCGGCCCTTTAGGGCCCCCGCTCTGCAGCAACAAGGCTTTCTCTGTTAAACCCACATCCAAGCAGCTGATGCAGCTGCAGGGATGCATGTAGAGCTGCAGGGATGCATGTAGAGCTGCAGGGATGCACGTAGAGCTGCAGGGATGCACGTAGAGCTGCAGGGATGCATGTAGAGCTGCAGGGATGCATGTAGAGCTGCAGGGATGCATGTAGAGCTGCAGGGATGCATGTAGAGCTGCAGGGATGCATGTAGAGCTGCAGGGATGCATGTAGAGCTGCAGGGATGCACGTAGAGCTGCAGGGATGCACGTAGAGCTGCAGGGATGCATGTAGAGCTGCAGGGATGCATGTAGAGCTGCAGGGATGTATGTAGAGCTGCAGGGATGCACGTAGAGCTGCAGGGATGCATGTAGAGCTGCAGGGATGCACGTAGAGCTGCAGGGATGCATGTAGAGCTGCAGGGATGCATGTAGAGCTGCAGGGATGCATGTAGAGCTGCAGGGATGCACGTAGAGCTGCAGGGATGCACGTAGAGCTGCAGGGATGCATGTAGAGCTGCAGGGATGCATGTAGAGCTGCAGGGATGCATGTAGAGCTTCAGGGATGCACGTAGAGCTGCAGGGATGCACGTAGAGCTGCAGGGATGCATGTAGAGCTGCAGGGATGCATGTAGAGCTGCAGGGATGCATGTAGAGCTGCAGGGATGCACGTAGAGCTGCAGGGATGCACGTAGAGCTGCAGGGATGCATGTAGAGCTGCAGGGATGCATGTAGAGCTGCAGGGATGCACGTAGAGCTGCAGGGATGCATGTAGAGCTGCAGGGATGTATGTAGAGCTGCAGGGATGCACGTAGAGCTGCAGGGATGCACGTAGAGCTGCAAGGATGCATGTAGAGCTGCAGGGATGCACGTAGAGCTGCAGGGATGCATGTAGAGCTGCAGGGATGTATGTAGAGCTGCAGGGATGCACGTAGAGCTGCAGGGATGCACGTAGAGCTGCAAGGATCCATGTAGAGCTGCAGGGATGCACGTAGAGCTGCAGGGATGCATGTAGAGCTGCAGGGATGAATGTAGAGCTGCAGGGATGCACGTAGAGCTGCAGGGATGCACGTAGAGCTGCAAGGATGCATGTAGAGCTGCAGGGATGCACGTAGAGCTGCAGGGATGCATGTAGAGCTGCAGGGATGTATGTAGAGCTGCAGGGATGCACGTAGAGCTGCAGGGATGCACGTAGAGCTGCAAGGATGCATGTAGAGCTGCAGGGATGCACGTAGAGCTGCAGGGATGCACGTAGAGCTGCAGGGATGCACGTAGAGCTGCAGGGATCCATGTAGAGCTGCAGGGATGCACGTAGAGCTGCAGGGATGCACGTAGAGCTGCAGGGATGCACGTAGAGCTGCAGGGATGCACGTAGAGCTGCAGGGATGCATGTAGAGCTGCAGGGATCCATGTAGAGCTGCAGGGATGCACGTAGAGCTGCAGGGATGCATGTAGAGCTGCAGGGATCCATGTAGAGCTGCAGGGATGCACGTAGAGCTGCAGGGATGCACGTAGAGCTGCAGGGATGCATGTAGAGCTGCAGGGATGCACGTAGAGCTGCAGGGATGCATGTAGAGCTGCAGGGATGCATGTAGAGCTGCAGGGATGCATGTAGAGCTGCAGGGATGCACGTAGAGCTGCAGGGATGCATGTAGAGCTGCAGGGATGCATGTAGAGCTGCAGGGATGCATGTAGAGCTGCAGGGATGCATGTAGAGCTGCAGGGATGCATGTAGAGCTGCAGGGATGTATGTAGAGCTGCAGGGATGCACGTAGAGCTGCAGGGATGCATGTAGAGCTGCAGGGATGCACGTAGAGCTGCAGGGATGCATGTAGAGCTGCAGGGATGCATGTAGAGCTGCAGGGATGCACGTAGAGCTGCAGGGATGCACGTAGAGCTGCAGGGATCCATGTAGAGCTGCAGGGATGCACGTAGAGCTGCAGGGATGCACGTAGAGCTGCAGGGATGCACGTAGAGCTGCAGGGATGCATGTAGAGCTGCAGGGATGTATGTAGAGCTGCAGGGATGCACGTAGAGCTGCAGGGATGCATGTAGAGCTGCAGGGATGCACGTAGAGCTGCAGGGATGCATGTAGAGCTGCAGGGATGCATGTAGAGCTGCAGGGATGCATGTAGAGCTGCAGGGATGCATGTAGAGCTGCAGGGATGCACGTAGAGCTGCAGGGATGCATGTAGAGCTGCAGGGATGTATGTAGAGCTGCAGGGATGCACGTAGAGCTGCAGGGATGCATGTAGAGCTGCAGGGATGCATGTAGAGCTGCAGGGATGCACGTAGAGCTGCAGGGATGCACGTAGAGCTGCAGGGATGCATGTAGAGCTGCAGGGATGCACGTAGAGCTGCAGGGATCCATGTAGAGCTGCAGGGATGCATGTAGAGCTGCAGGGATCCATGTAGAGCTGCAGGGATGCACGTAGAGCTGCAGGGATGCACGTAGAGCTGCAGGGATGCATGTAGAGCTGCAGGGATGCAGGTAGAGCTGCAGGGATGCACGTAGAGCTGCAGGGATGCATGTAGAGCTGCAGGGATGTATGTAGAGCTGCAGGGATGCACGTAGAGCTGCAGGGATGCATGTAGAGCTGCAGGGATGCATGTAGAGCTGCAGGGATGCACGTAGAGCTGCAGGGATGCATGTAGAGCTGCAGGGATGTATGTAGAGTTGCAGGGATGCACGTAGAGCTGCAGGGATGCATGTAGAGCTGCAGGGATGCATGTAGAGCTGCAGGGATGCACGTAGAGCTGCAGGGATGCACGTAGAGCTGCAGGGATCCATGTAGAGCTGCAGGGATGCACGTAGAGCTGCAGGGATGCACGTAGAGCTGCAGGGATGCACGTAGAGCTGCAGGGATGCACGTAGAGCTGCAGGGATGCACGTAGAGCTGCAGGGATGCACGTAGAGCTGCAGGGATGCACGTAGAGCTGCAGGGATGCACGTAGAGCTGCAGGGATGCACGTAGAGCGGCAGGGATGCATGTAGAGCTGCAGGGATGCATGTAGAGCTGCAGGGATCCATGTAGAGCTGCAGGGATGCACGTAGAGCTGCAGGGATGCACGTAGAGCTGCAGGGATGCATGTAGAGCTGCACGGATCCATGTAGAGCTGCAGGGATGCACGTAGAGCTGCAGGGATGCATGTAGAGCTGCAGGGATCCATGTAGAGCTGCAGGGATGCATGTAGAGCTGCAGGGATGCATGTAGAGCTGCAGGGATCCATGTAGAGCTGCAGGGATGCATGTAGAGCTGCAGGGATGCACGTAGAGCTGCAGGGATGCACGTAGAGCTGCAGGGATGCATGTAGAGCTGCAGGGATCCATGTAGAGCTGCAGGGATGCACGTAGAGCTGCAGGGATGCACGTAGAGCTGCAGGGATGCATGTAGAGCTGCAGGGATGCACGTAGAGCTGCAGGGATGCATGTAGAGCTGCAGGGATGCATGTAGAGCTGCAGGGATGCATGTAGAGCTGCAGGGATCCATGTAGAGCTGCAGGGATGCATGTAGAGCTGCAGGGATCCATGTAGAGCTGCAGGGATGCATGTAGAGCTGCAGGGATGCACGTAGAGCTGCAGGGATGCATGTAGAGCTGCAGGGATGCATGTAGAGCTGCAGGGATGCATGTAGAGCTGCAGGGATGCATGTAGAGCTGCAGGGATGCACGTAGAGCTGCAGGGATGAACGTAGAGCTGCAGGGATGCACGTAGAGCTGCAGGGATGCACGTAGAGCTGCAGGGATGCACGTAGAGCTGCAGGGATGCATGTAGAGCTGCAGGGATGCATGTAGAGCTGCAGGGATGCATGTAGGGCTGCAGGGATGCATGTAGAGCTGCAGGGATGCACGTAGAGCTGCAGGGATGCATGTAGAGCTGCAGGGATGCACGTAGAGCTGCAGGGATGCACGTAGAGCTGCAGGGATGCATGTAGAGCTGCAGGGATGCACGTAGAGCTGCAGGGATGCATGTAGAGCTGCAGGGATGTATGTAGAGCTGCAGGGATGCACGTAGAGCTGCAGGGATGCATGTAGAGCTGCAGGGATGCATGTAGAGCTGCAGGGATGCACGTAGAGCTGCAGGGATGCATGTAGAGCTGCAGGGATGTATGTAGAGCTGCAGGGATGCACGTAGAGCTGCAGGGATGCATGTAGAGCTGCAGGGATGCATGTAGAGCTGCAGGGATGCATGTAGAGCTGCAGGGATGCACGTAGAGATGCAGGGATGCACGTAGAGCTGCAGGGATCCATGTAGAGCTGCAGGGATGCATGTAGAGCTGCAGGGATGCACGTAGAGCTGCAGGGATGCACGTAGAGCTGCAGGGATGCACGTAGAGCTGCAGGGATGCATGTAGAGCTGCAGGGATGCATGTAGAGCTGCAGGGATGCATGTAGAGCTGCAGGGATGCATGTAGAGCTGCAGGACAGAGACGACCTGCCGGGTTCCTCCATCAGCTGAACCAGCCGACCCCAAAGGTTACGTCTCTAAACATTTTCTACAGTCCAACCAAAAAGACATTTATTGTCTGGATGAAACTAATAATTTATTTAAATACCAACAGACTATAAAGAAAATTAACTTAAAGGATCAAAACGTTTATTTTTTAAATCTAACGAGTAGAAAGTAAAAAGTTTTCTAAAATAATGACTCCAGTAAAGTCTGATCCTACCAGGCACTGAGCCAGGAGTCCTTTCCATGGAGGAAGGTTTAGTTCAGAGAGGCTTCTATGGGAGAAAGATCTATGAAGGGCTGCAGAGAGGCTGAAACAGCCACTGATCTCCTCTGGTTCTCCTGCAGGGAGATACTGAAAAACCCAGACCTGGAGGGGCAGATAAAGACGCCCTGCTTGGGTTCTCTGCTGCTGCAGGACAACCTGAGGGCTCTGGAGGAGCAATACCTTCTCCACAAAGAGGTGAAGCCTTCACTGGTGGATGATTAACCCTGGAGGAGCATATGACCTCCTTCAGCTCACACAGATGTTTCCTCAGGAGAAGATCCAGCTGTGGCTCAACACGCTTCTGAAGAAGGAGGAGGAGAACTGGCTGGGCGACAAACACCCAGAACTCATCGACAGTTATTACTTCAGCCCGCTGGCCATCGACATCATACAGGTGAGAGCAGGAGTCCAGAGGACAGCTGGGAAACACCCGCTGGACGCCCCCTGGCTCAATGGACGCCCGCCGGCTCTATAGACGCCCGCTGGCTCAATGGACGCCCGCCGGCTCTATAGACGCCCGCTGGCTCAATGGACGCCCGCCGGCTCTATAGACGCCCGCTGGCTCAATGGACGCCCGCCGGCTCTATAGACGCCCGCCGGCTCTATAGACGCCCGCCGGCTCTATAGACGCCCGCCGGCTCTATAGACGCCCGCTGGCTCAATGGACGCCCGCTGGTTCTATAGACGCCCGCCGGCTCTATAGACGCCCGCCGGCTCTATAGACGCCCGCCGGCTCTATAGACGCCCGCCGGCTCTATAGACGCCCGCCGGTTCTATAGACGCCCGCCGGCTCTATAGACGCCCGCCGGCTCTATAGACGCCCGCCGGCTCTATAGACGCCCGCCGGTTCTATAGACGCCCGCCGGCTCTATAGACGCCCGCTGGCTCTATAGACGCCCGTCGGCTCTATAGACGCCCGCCGGCTCTATAGACGCCCGCCGGTTCTATAGACGCCCGCCGGCTCTATAGACGCCCGCCGGCTCTATAGACGCCCGCTGGCTCTATAGACGCCCGTTGGCTCTATAGACGCCCGCCGGCTCTATAGACGCCCGCCGGCTCTATAGACGCCCGCCGGCTCTATAGACGCCCGCCGGCTCTATAGACGCCCGCCGGCTCTATAGACGCCCGCTGGCTCTATAGACGCCCGCCGGCTCTATAGACGCCCGCCGGCTCTATAGACGCCCGCCGGCTCTATAGATGCCCGCCGGCTCTATAGACGCCCGCCGGCTCTATAGACGCCCGCCGGTTCTATAGACGCCCACCGGCTCTATAGACGCCCGCCGGCTCTATAGACGCCCGCCGGCTCTATAGACGCCCGCCGGCTCTATAGACGCCCGCCGGCTCTATAGACGCCCGCTGGCTCTATAGACGCCCGCCGGTTCTATAGACGCCCACCGGCTCTATAGACGCCCGCCGGCTCTATAGACGCCCGCCGGCTCTATAGACGCCCGCTGGCTCTATAGACGCCCGCTGGTTCTATAGACGCCCGCTGGCTCTATAGACGCCCGCTGGTTCTATAGATGCCCGCTGGTTCTATAGACGCCCGCTGACTCTATAGACGCCCGCTGGTTCTATAGACGCCCGCTGGTTCTATAGACGCCCCCTGGCTATGAAGACGCCCGCCTTCATAGATGCCCAACGGCTTTGTCTCCACAGATGTTCAACAGCTCCCTGACGGAGTTAGGCTACACTATCAGCAGCCAGGACAAGGCTCAGAGGCTCACAGTTCATCTGGAGAACTTTCTCAGCAGGTAAACATGACCTGTATCAACCACCAAGGCTAAATGTGAAAAGATTTATTAAGACACTAGTTCCTGTTCCTGTAGTTCCTGTTCCTATAATTCCTGTTCCTTTAGTTCCTATAGTTCCTGTTCCTCTAGTACTGTTCTTTTAGTTCCTATAGTTCATGTCCCTGTAGTTCCCATTCCTATAGATCCTGTTTCTATAATTCCTATAGTTCCTGTAGTTCCTGTTTCTATAGTTCCTGTAGTTCCTATAGTTCCTATAGTTACTGTAGTTCCTATAGTTCCGATAGTTCCTGTTTCTATAGTTCCTGTAGTTCCTATAGTTCCTATAGTTCCTGATGCTATAGTTCCTGTAGTTCCTATAGTTCCTATAGTTCCGATAGTTCCTGTTTCTATAGTTCCTGTAGTTCCTGTAGTTCCTATAGTTCCTATAGATCCTGTTTCTATAGTTCCTATAGTTCCTGTAGTTCCTGTTTCTATAGTTCCTGTAGTTCCTATAGTTCCTATAGTTACTGTAGTTCCTATAGTTCCGATAGTTCCTGTTTCTATAGTTCCTGTAGTTCCTATAGTTCCTATAGTTCCTGATGCTATAGTTCCTGTAGTTCCTATAGTTCCTATAGTTCCGATAGTTCCTGTTTCTATAGTTCCTGTAGTTCCTGTAGTTCCTATAGTTCCTATAGATCCTGTTTCTATAGTTCCTATAGTTCCTGTAGTTCCTGTTTCTATAGTTCCTGTAGTTCCTATAGTTCCTGTAGTTCCTATAGTTCCGATAGTTCCTGTTTCTATAGTTCCTTTAGTTCCTGTAGTTCCTATAGTTCCTGATTCTATAGTTCCTTTAGTTCCTATAGTTCCTATAGTTCTGATAGTTCCTGTTTCTATAGTTCCTGTAGTTCCTGTAGTTCCTATAGTTCCTATAGATCCTGTTTCTATAGTTCCTATAGTTCCTGTAGTTCCTGTTTCTATAGTTCCTGTAGTTCCTATAGTTCCTGTAGTTCCTATAGTTCCGATAGTTCCTGTTTCTATAGTTCCTGTAGTTCCTATAGTTCCTGTTTCTATAGTTCCTGTAGTTCCTATAGTTCCTGTAGTTCCTGCTCCTATAGTTCCTATAGTTCCTGTTTTTATAGTTCCTGTAGTTCCTGCTCCTATAGTTCCTATAGTTCCTATAGATCCTGTTTCTATAGTTCCTATAGTTCCTGTAGTTCCTGTTTCTATAGTTCCTGTAGTTCCTATAGTTCCTGTAGTTCCTATAGTTCCGATAGTTCCTGTTTCTATAGTTCCTGTAGTTCCTATAGTTCCTGTTTCTATAGTTCCTGTAGTTCCTATAGTTCCTGTAGTTCCTGCTCCTATAGTTCCTATAGTTCCTGTTTTTATAGTTCCTGTAGTTCCTATAGTTCCTATAGTTCCTGTAGTTCCTATAATTCCTATAGTTCCTGTTTCTATAGTTCCTGTAGTTCCTATAGTTCCTGTAGTTCCTATAGTTCCGATAGTTCCTGTTTCTATAGTTCCTTTAGTTCCTGTAGTTCCTATAGTTCCTGATTCTATAGTTCCTTTAGTTCCTATAGTTCCTGCTCCTATAGTTCCTATAGTTCCTGTTTCTATAGTTCCTGTAGTTCCTATAGTTCCTGTAGTTCCTGCTCCTATAGTTCCTATAGATCCTGTTTCTATAGTTCCTATAGTTCCTGTAGTTCCTGTTTCTATAGTTCCTGTAGTTCCTATAGTTCCTGTAGTTCCTATAGTTCCGATAGTTCCTGTTTCTATAGTTCCTGTAGTTCCTATAGTTCCTGTTTCTATAGTTCCTGTAGTTCCTATAGTTCCTGTAGTTCCTGCTCCTATAGTTCCTATAGTTCCTGTTTTTATAGTTCCTGTAGTTCCTATAGTTCCTATAGTTCCTGTAGTTCCTATAATTCCTATAGTTCCTGTTTCTATAGTTCCTGTAGTTCCTATAGTTCCTGTAGTTCCTATAGTTCCGATAGTTCCTGTTTCTATAGTTCCTTTAGTTCCTGTAGTTCCTATAGTTCCTGATTCTATAGTTCCTTTAGTTCCTATAGTTCCTGCTCCTATAGTTCCTATAGTTCCTGTTTCTATAGTTCCTGTAGTTCCTATAGTTCCTGTAGTTCCTGCTCCTATAGTTCCTATAGTTCCTGTTTCTATAGTTCCTGTAGTTCCTATAGTTCCTATAGTTCCTGTAGTTCCTATAGTTCCTATAGTTCCTGTTTCTATAGTTCCTGTAGTTCCTATAGTTCCTGTATTTCCTATAGTTCCGATAGTTCCTGTTTCTATAGTTCCTTTAGTTCCTGTAGTTCCTATAGTTCCTGATTCTATGGTTCCTTTAGTTCCTATAGTTCCTGCTCCTATAGTTCCTATAGTTCCAGTTTCTATAGTTCCTGTAGTTCCTGCTCCTATAGTTCCTATAGTTCCTGTTTCTATAGTTCCTGTAGTTCCTATAGTTCCTATAGTTCCTGTAGTTCCTATAGTTCCTATAGTTCCTGTTTCTATAGTTCCTGTAGTTCCTGTAGTTCCTATAGTTCCTATAGTTCCTGTTCCTATAGTTCCTGTAGTTCCTATAGTTCCTATAGTTCCTGTAGTTCCTATAGTTCCTATAGATCCTGTTTCTATAGTTCCTATAGTTCCTGTAGTTCCTGTTTCTATAGTTCCTGTAGTTCCTATAGTTCCTGTAGTTCCTATAGTTCCGATAGTTCCTGTTTCTATAGTTCCTTTAGTTCCTGTAGTTCCTATAGTTCCTGATTCTATAGTTCCTTTAGTTCCTATAGTTCCTATAGTTCTGATAGTTCCTGTTTCTATAGTTCCTGTAGTTCCTGTAGTTCCTATAGTTCCTATAGATCCTGTTTCTATAGTTCCTATAGTTCCTGTAGTTCCTGTTTCTATAGTTCCTGTAGTTCCTATAGTTCCTGTAGTTCCTATAGTTCCGATAGTTCCTGTTTCTATAGTTCCTGTAGTTCCTATAGTTCCTGTTTCTATAGTTCCTGTAGTTCCTATAGTTCCTGTAGTTCCTGCTCCTATAGTTCCTATAGTTCCTGTTTTTATAGTTCCTGTAGTTCCTATAGTTCCTATAGTTCCTGTAGTTCCTATAATTCCTATAGTTCCTGTTTCTATAGTTCCTGTAGTTCCTATAGTTCCTGTAGTTCCTATAGTTCCGATAGTTCCTGTTTCTATAGTTCCTTTAGTTCCTGTAGTTCCTATAGTTCCTGATTCTATAGTTCCTTTAGTTCCTATAGTTCCTGCTCCTATAGTTCCTATAGTTCCTGTTTCTATAGTTCCTGTAGTTCCTATAGTTCCTGTAGTTCCTGCTCCTATAGTTCCTATAGTTCCTGTTTCTATAGTTCCTGTAGTTCCTATAGTTCCTATAGTTCCTGTAGTTCCTATAGTTCCTATAGTTCCTGTTTCTATAGTTCCTGTAGTTCCTATAGTTCCTGTAGTTCCTATAGTTCTGATAGTTCCTGTTTCTATAGTTCCTTTAGTTCCTGTAGTTCCTATAGTTCCTGATTCTATAGTTCCTTTAGTTCCTATAGTTCCTGCTCCTATAGTTCCTATAGTTCCAGTTTCTATAGTTCCTGTAGTTCCTATAGTTCCTGTAGTTCCTGCTCCTATAGTTCCTATAGTTCCTGTTTCTATAGTTCCTGTAGTTCCTATAGTTCCTATAGTTCCTGTAGTTCCTATAGTTCCTATAGTTCCTGTTTCTATAGTTCCTGTAGTTCCTATAGTTCCTATAGTTCCTGTAGTTCCTATAGTTCCTATAGTTCCTGTTTCTATAGTTCCTGTAGTTCCTGTAGTTCCTATAGTTCCTATAGTTCCTGTTTCTATAGTTCCTGTAGTTCCTGTAGTTCCTATAGTTCCTATAGTTCCTGTAGTTCCTATAGTTCCTATAGTTCCTGCTCCTGTAGAGAAGAATCTTTTTATAGCTTTTGTTTCTCATCAGTTCTGCTGATCATGTGAGTGACTTCAGGAAAGATGAAATAAAAACTAAAGATTGTCGATAAAAAGAAAGAAAATGTTTTTATTTCTTTGTTGTGCCTCTTTTGTTTTGTTTTTTCTGCGTCTTATGGCCTCAGGCGGCTGCTGACGGCTGCGTGTGTCTTTCAGCTACAGGAAGTGCGTGGACGAGCTGCTGAAAGCTGCTCCCAGTAACCTGCACACAGTGATGAAGGCTCAGCTGGTCTGTGAGCAGCAGCTCAGGTGAGTTCACCTGGTGATTTTCTGCCCCAAAGCATTCTGGGAACTGCTTCAGTTCAGCGGGCCTTTCCTTTCCTCAGAGATTACGTGACGGGTCTGAGTGGGGGGGTGTCTGAGGAGCAGCGCCGGCGCTGCCTGGAGGACCTGGCTGCTATCAGGGCCGCTGGCTACCGCTGCTTCATCTGGCCTCTCCATCAACCCATTAAGGTGAATGCACTATCGCCATGGCAACCCAGGTACTCAGCCCCATCACAGAAACAGAGCATCTAGAGCGAATGACAGGGATCATCGCCACACTCCCTGAGAATCCGTTTGTCCGATTCTAAGAATCCATCCTGGTTCCATGTTCCTTCCTTCCAAACCCAGCAGAACCATTAGATCTTCCTCAGAACCATTAGATCCTCCTCAGAACCATCAGATCCTCCTCAGAACCATCAGATCCTCCTCAGAACCATCAGATCCTCCTCAGAACCATCAGATCCTCCTCAGAACCATCAGATCCTCCTCAGAACCATCAGATCCTCCTCAGAACCATCAGATCCTCCTCAGAACCATCAGATCCTCCTCAGAACCATCAGATCCTCCTCAGAACCATTAGATCCTCCTCAGAACCATCAGATCCTCCTCAGAACCATCAGATCCTCCTCAGAACCATCAGATCCTCCTCAGAACCATTAGATCCTCCTCAGAACCATCGGATCCTCCTCAGAACCATCAGATCCTCCTCAGAACCATCAGATCCTCCTCAGAACCATCAGATCCTCCTCAGAACCATTAGATCCTCCTCAGAACCATCGGATCCTCCTCAGAACCATCAGATCCTCCTCAGAACCATCAGATCCTCCTCAGAACCATCAGATCCTCCTCAGAACCATTAGATCCTCCTCAGAACCATCAGATCCTCCTCAGAACCATCAGATCCTCCTCAGAACCATCAGATCCTCCTCAGAACCATCAGATCCTCCTCAGAACCATCAGATCCTCCTCAGAACCATTAGATCCTCCTCAGAACCATCAGATCCTCCTCAGAACCATTAGATCCTCCTCAGAACCATCAGATCCTCCTCAGAACCATTAGATCCTCCTCAGAACCATCAGATCCTCCTCAGAACCATTAGATCCTCCTCAGAACCATCAGATCCTCCTCAGAACCATTAGATCCTCCTCAGAACCATCAGATCCTCCTCAGAACCATCAGATCCTCCTCAGAACCATCAGATCCTCCTCAGAACCATCAGATCCTCCTCAGAACCATCAGATCCTCCTCAGGTCCAGTTCAATCAGCAGACCACATATCTTGTTCTTCCAAATGTCGTGTAGGTCCATCTAAGTAAACTGTGGACGTCTTCCTGGATGGACGGTTCCTCATCTGTCATCGACCCGCTGCTGAACTTCCTGATCCAGCAGCTGGACCAGCTGTCGGACCTAAAGCCAGCCTGCAAACAGGTAAGAGGCCGCCGCCGCCGCCGCCGCCATCAGCGCTGCTGACTGTCCGTATCTCTGCAGGTTCTGCTAGAGGACCTCCATCTGGACGTGGTGGTCCAGTACGTGGCGAAGACCATGAAAGCCAGGATGAAGAGCAGGCAGCAGCAGGTGGCCGGGTCTCAGCGCGTGGTGGAGGATGCCCAAAAGATGGAGAGCTTCTTTAAAGAGCAGGTGAGATGTGAACACCTGAGCCTTTCCTCTCATCATCATGATCCTCCTCAGGCTCCTATCAGAACATCTGAGGTTCTGTCAGAGCCGGGTTCTGGTCCAAAGCTTCCACTGCTGATTTCTACCTGGAGGTACTTCTTCCTCACCTGTCCAGGATTCTTCAACCTGTAATCAGAGTTTCTGGTCCGCTCTATAAAACGCTATTTCTGACATTTTGAATTAAAGAAACGTCTTCAAACTTGGAAACAAAGTCCAGCAGATTGATTTTATCTGGAATGACTGAGGACCTTCATCAGTATCTCAGTTTTTCAGTAGGATTGTTGGTGTTTCAGGGCTGCGGTGAAACGCTGAGGCTCTCTGAGATGCTCTGCAGTCTGGCTGAGATCCTCCGTCTGCAGGATCCTGCCAGTCTCCACCTGGAGGTCGTCAATCTGGCCCAAAAGTTCCCAGACTTCAGGTACCAGAGTCTGACGCTGAAACCCGAGCGCCTCAGTTCCACTCCGACATATCGGAGACGCGTCGTGCTGCTCCACCTCCTGCTGCTCCACCTCCTGCTGCTGCTCCACCTCCTGCTGCTGCTCCACCTCCCGCTGCTTCTCCACCTCTTGCTGCTGCTCCACCTCCTGCTGCTCCACCTCCTGCTGCTTCTCCACCTCCTGCTGCTGCTCCACCTCCCGCTGCTTCTCCACCTCCTGCTGCTTCTCCACCTCCTGCTGCTGCTCCACCTCCTGCTGCTCCACCTCCTGCTGCTTCTCCACCTCTTGCTGCTGCTCCACCTCCTGCTGCTCCACCTCCTGCTGCTTCTCCACCTCCTGCTGCTGCTCCACCTCCCGCTGCTTCTCCACCTCCTGCTGCTTCTCCACCTCCTGCTGCTGCTCCACCTCCTGCTGCTCCACCTCCTGCTGCTTCTCCACCTCTTGCTGCTTCTCCACCTCCTGCTGCTGCTCCACCTCCTGCTGCTTCTCCACCTCCTGCTGCTTCTCCACCTCCTGCTGCTTCTCCACCTCCTGCTGCTTCTCCACCTCCTGCTGCTTCTCCACCTCTTGCTGCTGCTCCACCTCTTGCTGCTGCTCCACCTCCTGCTGCTTCTCCACCTCCCGCTGCTTCTCCACCTCCTGCTGCTTCTCCACCTCTTGCTGCTGCTCCACCTCCTGCTGCTTCTCCACCTCCTGCTGCTTCTCCACCTCCTGCTGCTTCCCCACCTCCTGCTGCTTCTCCACCTCCCCCTGCTGCTCCACCTCCTGCTGCTCCACCTCCTGCTGCTCCACCTCCTGCTGCTTCTCCACCTCCTGCTGCTGCTCCACCTCCCGCTGCTTCTCCACCTCCTGCTGCTTCTCCACCTCTTGCTGCTGCTCCACCTCCTGCTGCTCCACCTCCTGCTGCTTCTCCACCTCTTGCTGCTTCTCCACCTCCTGCTGCTTCTCCACCTCCTGCTGCTTCCCCACCTCCTGCTGCTGCTCCACCTCCTGCTGCTCCACCTCCTGCTGCTTCCCCACCTCCTGCTGCTTCTCCACCTCTTGCTGCTTCTCCACCTCCTGCTGCTTCTCCACCTCCTGCTGCTTCCCCACCTCCTGCTGCTTCTCCACCTCTTGCTGCTGCTCCACCTCCTGCTGCTCCACCTCCTGCTGCTTCCCCACCTCCTGCTGCTTCTCCACCTCCCCCTGCTGCTCCACCTCCTGCTGCTCCACCTCCTGCTGCTCCACCTCCTGCTGCTTCTCCACCTCCTGCTGCTGCTCCACCTCCCGCTGCTTCTCCACCTCCTGCTGCTTCTCCACCTCTTGCTGCTGCTCCACCTCCTGCTGCTCCACCTCCTGCTGCTTCTCCACCTCTTGCTGCTTCTCCACCTCCTGCTGCTTCTCCACCTCCTGCTGCTTCTCCACCTCCCGCTGCTTCTCCACCTCCTGCTGCTTCTCCACCTCTTGCTGCTGCTCCACCTCCTGCTGCTTCTCCACCTCCCGCTGCTTCCCCACCTCCTGCTGCTTCTCCACCTCCCCCTGCTGCTCCACCTCCTGCTGCTCCACCTCCTGCTGCTCCACCTCCTGCTGCTTCTCCACCTCCTGCTGCTGCTCCACCTCCCGCTGCTTCTCCACCTCCTGCTGCTTCTCCACCTCTTGCTGCTGCTCCACCTCCTGCTGCTTCTCCACCTCCTGCTGCTTCTCCACCTCCCGCTGCTTCTCCACCTCTTGCTGCTGCTCCACCTCCTGCTGCTTCTCCACCTCCTGCTGCTGCTCCACCTCCCGCTGCTTCTCCACCTCCTGCTGCTTCTCCACCTCCTGCTGCTTCTCCACCTCCTGCTGCTCCACCTCCTGCTGCTTCTCCACCTCTTGCTGCTGCTCCACCTCCTGCTGCTTCTCCACCTCCTGCTGCTTCTCCACCTCGCTGCTTCTCCACTCCGCTGCTTCTCCACCTCCTGCTGTCACCTCCTGTGCTCCACCTCCTGCTGTCTATCTGTCTCCACCTCCTGCTGCTTCTCCACCCTGCTGCTCACCTCCGCTGCTTCTCACCTCCTGTGCTTCTCACCTCTGCTGCTGCTCCCTCTGCTGCTTTCCACCTCCCGCTGCTTCCCACCTCCTGCTGCTTCTCCCACCTCTCCCCTGCTGCTCCACCTCCTGCTGCTCCACCTCCTGCTGCTTCTCCACCTCCGCCCTCCCTGCTTCTCCACCTCCTGCTGCTTCTCCACCTCCTGCTGCTTCTCCACCTCTTGCTGCTCCACCTCCCGCTGCTTCTCCACCTCCTGCTGCTTCTCCACCTCCTGCTGCTGCTCCACCTCCTGCTGCTTCTCCACCTCCTGCTGCTCCACCTCCCGCTGCTTCTCCACCTCCTGCTGCTTCTCCACCTCCGTGCTTTACCACCTCCTGCTGCTATGTCTCCACCCCTGCTGCTTCTCCACCTCTGCTGCTGCTCCACCTCCTGCTGCTTCTCCACCTCCCGCTGCTTCCCACCTCCTGCTGCTTCTCCACCTCCCCTGCTGCTCCACCTCCTGCTGCTCCACCTCCTGCTGCTCCACCTCCTGCTGCTTCTCCACCTCCTGCTGCTGCTCCACCTCCCGCTGCTTCTCCACCTCCTGCTGCTTCTCCACCTCTTGCTGCTGCTCCACCTCCTGCTGCTTCTCCACCTCCTGCTGCTTCTCCACCTCCCGCTGCTTCTCCACCTCTTGCTGCTGCTCCACCTCCTGCTGCTTCTCCACCTCCTGCTGCTGCTCCACCTCCCGCTGCTTCCCCACCTCCTGCTGCTTCTCCACCTCCCCCTGCTGCTCCACCTCCTGCTGCTCCACCTCCTGCTGCTTCTCCACCTCCCGCTGCTTCTCCACCTCCTGCTGCTTCTCCACCTCTTGCTGCTGCTCCACCTCCTGCTGCTTCTCCACCTCCCGCTGCTTCCCCACCTCCCGCTGCTTCTCCACCTCCCCCTGCTTCTTCACCTCCTGCTGCTTCTCCACCTCCTGCTGCTGCTCCACCTCCCGCTGCTTCTCCACCTCCTGCTGCTTCTCCACCTCCCGCTACTTCTCCACCTCCCGCTGCTTCTCCACCTCCTGCTGCTTCTCCACCTCCTGCTGCTTCTCCACCTCTTGCTGCTCCACCTCCTGCTGCTTCTCCACCTCCCCCTGCTTCTTCACCTCCCGCTGCTTCTCCACCTCCTGCTGCTGCTCCACCTCCCGCTGCTTCTTCACCTCCTTCTGCTTCTCCACCTCTTGCTGCTTCTCCACCTCCCGCTGCTTCTCCACCTCCTGCTGCTTCTCCACCTCCTGCTGCTTCTCCACCTCCTGCTGCTCCACCTCCTGCTGCTTCTCCACCTCCTGCTGCTGCTCCACCTCCCGCTGCTTCTCCACCTCCTGCTGCTGCTCCACCTCCCGCTGCTTCTCCACCTCCTGCTGCTTCTCCACCTCCTGCTGCTCCACCTCCCGCTGCTTCTCCACCTCCTGCTGCTGCTCCACCTCCCGCTGCTTCTCCACCTCCTGCTGCTGCTCCACCTCCCGCTGCTTCTCCACCTCCTGCTGCTGCTCCACCTCCCGCTGCTTCTTCACCTCCTGCTGCTTCTCCACCTCCTGCTGCTTCTCCACCTCCTGCTGCTTCTCCACCTCCTGCTGCTTCTCCACCTCCCGCTGCTGCTCCACCTCCTGCTGCTCTCTATTCATTCATTCTCTCCTCTTTTTCTTTAAATGTTGATCTGAAATGATTGAATTTTTCCTGATTTCTGGAATCATCTGATCAGTTATTAGTTTCCTGCTCGGCTGTTTGTGTTGCCACCACAGCAGAGCTTGACTTCTACCCCCCATCTTACAGGAGCGGGTTGGTTATGACCTGCAGGTTGGACCAGGGTGGCCCAAAGATCAGAGCAGGTGATGTTGGAGCTGCAGCCCTAGATATCCTCCCCACAGCATGATGCAGCCGACACCATACAGCTGCAGCTCCAGCAATGGGTCCTAGTGATGAGAATCCCAGCAGTTCTAAAGCCCTTTAGAGACTCCGACCTCAGAAACTCATGAAATGTTTTCTAATTGGGTCTGAGTCTGCAGAAGCTACCATCATCATCCACACAGATCTATGCCGGTAGAAGCAACAGCTTTCCTTCCTCCATCTGTCCTCTGAGGCAGAAGCCTTCAAGGTTTACATCATCTGTTCTGAAGCAGCTGAGCTGCTGCAGAACCGCTCCAAGGCGTGGTTCTGGTCCCCGCCCCGCTCCCCTGGGACTCAGGCAGCACAGCTGACACCTGAAACCGGGCCTGCAGGTGATCCTGCCCGAGCAGATAGAGCGGCCCGGCTGGGCGCGGCTCAGGTGTCAGCAAAGAGGAAAAGTACTGAGAGGCGTCTGTCTGATGGACGGGAAAGACGTGAACCTGCCGGATTATTCTGGCTCCATTACAGAACCACAAAGGAACCGGGTTAATCTGTCACCCTGAACAGCAGGCTGACGTAACCCCGCTGGCAGAGGAGGCGCAATGATGTCATCACCATGAGCCTCTGCTTGATGTGGAGCTGTCAGAAACTCAGATGGTCGGACCCAGAATTCAGGCCAGAAAATTCAAAGCATTAAAACAGTCTGTGGCAGATCTGCTGCGGGGCGGCGGAGCTCCGCCCATCACTGGAAACTCGGGTGGAGAAAAACACAGATTAGTGACCATGATAATCTGACAGAGGATGACTATCCAGGAGAGTCACTTACCTGGTTTGAAGTTCAGTCTGCCTCTATAGAACGCAGTAGGATCAGCCGGAGGTCTGCCAATTAGATGCGGCGCCCAGAGTGAACCGGCTGCTGCAGGCCTGGAGGGCAAGCAGGCGTCCGAGCCAGGTCAGGCAATCAGATCAGAACAGGCTGGTTCAGGGTTCCAGGAGTCTGAAGCCCAGTCAGGGATACCGGTCAGAACCGGAACAGGCTGGCTCAGGGTTCCAGGAGTCTGAAGCCCAGTCAGGGATACCGGTCAGAACCGGAACAGGCTGGCTCAGGGTTCCAGGAGTCTGAAGCCCAGTCAGGGATACCGGTCAGAACCGGAACAGGCTGGTTCAGGGTTCCAGGAGTCTGAAGCCCAGTCAGGGATACCGGTCAGAACCGGAACAGGCTGGCTCAGGGTTCCAGGAGTCTGAAGCCCAGTCAGGGATACCGGTCAGAACCGGAACAGGCTGGCTCAGGGTTCCAGGAGTCTGAAGCCCAGTCAGGGATACCGGTCAGAACCGGAACAGGCTGGTTCAGGGTTCCAGGAGTCTGAAGCCCAGTCTGGCATTCCGGTCAGAACCGGAACAGGCTGGTTCAGGGTTCCAGGAGTCTGAAGCCCAGTCTGGCATTCCGGTCAGAACCGGAACAGGCTGGTTCAGGGTTCCAGGAGTCCACAGAGAGCTCAGGCTAAATGGTCAGATGGGAAGAGGCAGGCGCAGTAGTGGAGAGGCAGAACAGGTCAGGATAACAGGAACACCACGCTCTCTCCACTGATCCAAGACAGGAACAGGAAACACTTAGTGGATAAGAGGCAGAACATGATCAGGAAATCAGGAACACTATGAAGACGCTAAAACCGTCTCTCACCACTGGCCCCCGAGAACAGGAACATGAACTAGGTCAGGGGTCAGCAACCCAAACCCAAATATATGCCTCGTCTGGCAACACGGCTCTAAGTGTTTTATCCCACAATAGAAAAGCACTATGTGGGCTTAAATATATAATAAACATTCATGATTAAATGTTTATCCTGGGGGAATTGTTACATCATGAGGTGAGGGAGGAGCAGGGAACGCTCTCACCGCGCGCCGCTTCATCGCGCGCCGCTTCACCGCCATTCACCGAGCGGTTTAGGTTTGGTTGCATTGATGAAATGATAGAAACAGGATAAAGGAACCTTTCTATGGTGGACGTGTTTCTGTTGGGAGGAGCTGATGGAGGAACCAAGCAGGAAGTGACATCATCAGAGCAGAGCTCTCTAACCCTGAAATCCTCCGTCACCAGCTCTCCTTGGTGGGATTTAGATTTTTAGGATTTGGGGAAAAAATGTTAGAAAGTTCCCATTCCTGCATCAGAGCGCCACCTGTTGGATCTATGAACAGTTTTCTATGCTTCAACCAAACTAGCAGCAGTAGTGGAGTCTGGAGATGCAATCTACTTCTTAGATCTATCTTTGTTCTCCTCTAATTTATCTAGAAGTTCTTTAATCCCACTTTTTCTCTCCCTCCCAGCTTGGTGGTCGGCTGCAGATTTAGGCTTCCCTGGAAATGCTTTTCCAAATTTACTTTTTCTTTTTGGCCAACCTGTCATTCCAAAGCAAACATGCAGGCGATCCTTCCTCATTGGTAATGAAAGCCAACGATTCGCTCCGTTCTTCTTTAAATCCTCTGTTCTCATCAGCTGTCTTCCTTTTTTCCCTTTGGGATCCATGGAGACACCTGCAGCTTTGTTAGCCTGGCGCCGCGCCGCGCTGGTTCCAAGTTATTACCACTGATCTCTATGGCTATGACGCAATTTATTGTTTACATTTATAAAATATACAAATATTTACATCATTAGAAAACATAAGGAATTTTTCCGCAAGCGGTACGCTAAACGGGTTGCCGACCCTCAAACTATGGCATCAGGAACAACATCAATGATCTGAATGATCTGGCCCTGATAGCTGGGACTGAGCTGGATATAAAAGAGGCAGGAGCAGGTGGATTAGATGAGTGGTAATTGGAAACCAGGCAGAGTTAGGCAGGTGAAGGAAATTAGCAATTAGATGGGCCATCAGAGCCATGAGCAGCAGCTCAGACCTAGAAAAATTAGAAAAGACTGAGCTGCCTGTTCTAACATAACTGATCACAGAACCACATAGGACCTCATAGTCCACCTTGGACCCCACAGCATGATGCAGCCACCATCTTACCCTGAGCCTAGAACACCTACAGATGAACCATGTCCTGTTCTGAGCCATTCTGGCCCTCAGGCCCAGGAGGTTCCTCCACCAGTCCAAACGTTCAGTGTTCTGATGCTGAAGCTCTTTCAGTGTCACGTTTTTATCGCCGCATGGTTCTGATCCGATCTCCACAGATGATCTGCTCACAGCGGCAGCAGATGGAGGACCGGCTGAGGTTCTACAGAACTGATTAGAAGCCAGGATCTTCTCACCTTGGCACTCTGCAGGTTTCTCACACCCGTCTGCCGCCAGCGGTGAACAAGCTCTGCATTGGTGGAGGCATCTTTCCCAGGAGCTGCTTCCTGGACCTTCTTAGATGTTAGAAACCTTCTCGTCCATTCTGGTTCCTGATGTTCCACAGAGATAATCTCAGAGCTGCAGCTTCTGCTCCCTGTTGGAGCTTCGGGTTGGTCAGAAGGAGGAGGACCTGATGTTGGTGAGAAGGTCTGCTGGAGGTTCTGTGGTGACCTGGTGTCTGGTTTTCTCTCCTCAGTGACGCTCACGTCTCGGCGCTGCTGTCCCTGAAGTTTGGCCTGTCAGCTTTGGACATTCGATCCATCAGAGCCAGCGTGGAGGAGAACCGCCCCCCTCAGGCCTCAGCCAATCAGAGCCCTGCGTTCTTCTCCCGGGTCAAAGTCAAATGGATCAATAATAAGATCAACCAAATGCGGGTCAAGAGTAAAAGTCCTGTAGCTGCTACTTAGCTTAGCATGTTAGCAGAGGTAGCTATAGCTTTTAGTTACCGTAGCATGTTGGCAGAACTAAATGTTGCTTCTACTTAGCGTTGCATGTTAGCAGAGGTAGCTGTAACTTCTTGATGTTAATCTGCGTTCCTGGACCCAAAGTTCCACAGAACCTCTGGGAACTGTTCTGTGGATCAGAACTGTCTTCTGGATCCAAACTGTTCTCTGGATCCAAACTGTTCTCTGGATCAGAACTGTTCTCTGGATCAGAACTGTCTTCTGGATCGAAACTGTTCTGTGGATCGGAACTATTCTCTGGATCAGAACTGTTCTCTGTTTTGGAACTGTTCTCTGGATAATTTCCGTTCTCTGGATTGGAACTGTTCTCTGGATCAGTTCCGTTCTCTGGATTGGAACTGTTCTCTGGATCAGAACTGTTCTCTGGATCGAAACTGTTCTCTGGATCGGAACTGTTCTCTGGATCAGAACTGTTCTCTGGATCGAACTGTTCCCTGGATCAGTTCCGTTCTCTGGATCAGTTCTGTTCTCTGGATCAGAACTGTTCTCTGGATCGAAACTGTTCTCTGGATTGGAACTGTTCTCTGGATCAGAACTGTTCTCTGGATCGAAACTGTTCTCTGGATCGGAACTGTTCTCTGGATCAGAACTGTTCTCTGGATCGAAACTGTTCTCTGGATCGGACCTGTTCTCTGGATCAGAACTGTTCTCTGGATCGAACTGTTCCCTGGATCAGTTCCGTTCTCTGGATCAGTTCTGTTCTCTGGATCAGTTCCGTTCTCTGGATCAGAACTGTTCTCTGGATCAGTTCCGTTCTCTGGATCAGAACTATTCTCTGGATCAGTTCCGTTCTCTGGATTGGAACTGTTCTCTGGATCAGTTCCGTTCTCTGGATCGGAACTGTTCTCTTGATTAGTTCCGTTCTCTGTATCGGTTCTGTTCTCTGTATCAGAACTGTTCTCTGGATCAGTTCCGTTCTCTGGATCAGAATTGTTTTCTGGATCAGAAATGGTCACTGGATCAGAACTGTTCTCTGGATCGGAACTGTTCTCTGGATCGGAACTGTTCTCTGGATTGGAACTGTTCTCTGGATCAGTTCCGTTCTCTGGATCAGTTCCGTTCTCTGGATCAGAACTGTTCTCTGGATCAGTTCTGTTCCCTGGATTGGAACTGTTCTCTGGATCAGTTCCGTTCTCTGGATCAGAACTATTCTCTGGATTGGAACTGTTCTCTGGAACAGAACTATTCTTTGGATCAGAACTGTTCTCTGGATCAGTTCCGTTCTCTGGATCATAACTGTTCTCTGGATCGGAATTGTTCTCTGGATCAGTTCCGTTCTCTGGATCGGAACTGTTCTCTGGATCAGTTCTGTTCTCTGGATCAGTTCCGTTCTGTGGATTGGAACTGTTCTCTGGATCGGAACTGTTCTCTGGATCAGTTCCGTTCTCTGGATGAGAACTATTCTCTAGATTGGAACTGTTCTCTGGATCAGACCTGTTCTCTGGATCGGAACTCTTCTCTGGATCAGAACTGTTCTCTGGATCAGTTCTGTTCTCTGGATCAGTTCTGTTCTCTGGATCAGTTCCGTTCTCTGGATCAGAACTATTCTCTGGATTGGAACTGTTCTCTGGAACAGAACTATTCTCTGGATCGGAACTGTTCTCTGGATCAGTTCCGTTCTCTGGATCAGAACTGTTCTCTGGATTAGTTCCGTTCTCTGGATCGGAACTGTTCTCTGGATCAGTTCTGTTCCCTGGATCAGTTCCGTTCTCTGGATTGGAACTGTTCTCTCGATCGGAACTGTTCTCTGGAACAGAACTATTCTCTGGATCAGAACTGTTCTCTGGATCAGTTCTGTTCTCTGGATCGAAACTGTTCTCTGGATCGGAACTGTTCTCTGGATCAGTTCCATTCTCTGGATCAGAACTATTCTCTGGATTGGAACTGTTCTCTGGAACAGAACTATTCTCTGGATCAGAACTGTTCTCTGGATCAGTTCTGTTCTCTGGATCGAAACTGTTCTCTGGATCGGAACTGTTCTCTGGATCAGTTCCGTTATCTGGATCAGAACTATTCTCTGGATTGGAACTGTTCTCTGGAACAGAACTATTCTCTGGATCAGAACTGTTCTCTGGATCAGTTCCGTTCTCTGGATCAGAACTATTCTCTGGATTGGAACTGTTTTCTGGACCAGAACTATTCTCTGGATCAGAACTGTTCTCTGGAACAGAACTATTCTCTGGATCAGAACTGTTCTCTGGATCAGTTCTGTTCTCTGGATCGAAACTGTTCTCTGGATCGGAACTGTTCTCTGGATCAGTTCCGTTATCTGGATCAGAACTATTCTCTGGATTGGAACTGTTCTCTGGAACAGAACTATTCTCTGGATCAGAACTGTTCTCTGGATCAGTTCCGTTCTCTGGATCAGAACTATTCTCTGGATTGGAACTGTTTTCTGGACCAGAACTATTCTCTGGATCAGAACTGTTCTCTGGATCAGTTCCGTTCTCTGGATTGGAACTGTTCTCTGGATCGGAACTGTTCTCTGGATCAGTTCCGTTCTCTGGATCAGTTCCGTTCTCTAGATCAGAACTGGTCACTGGATCGGAACTGTTCTCTGGATCAGTTCCGTTCTCTGGATCAGAACTGTTCTCTGGATCAGTTCCGTTCTCTGGATCAGTTCCGTTCTCTAGATCAGAACTGGTCACTGGATCGGAACTGTTCTCTGGATCAGTTCCGTTCTCTGGATCAGAACTGTTCTCTGGATCAGTTCCGTTCTCTGGATCAGAACTGTTCTGCAGAGATGTTGGTTTGAAGCTAATCCCCCATCCAGTGTTTTTCTGATCCGATCTGGTACTGATCGGATGCTGGTTGGAGAGAATGGAGCTGACCATGTGACTGATGGTGTCAGGGTGGGTATAGATATTGTTAAATAGATTAGCACTGAACTGAATATTATTTATTAACAGTTGATTAGCAGCAGAAATCAGAGCAGGTGAAGATGATGGATGAAACATGGCGTCTGCCTGGATCTGCTGTCTGTGGTTCGCTGTAACTCCACTGCTGTGTGGCGTTACTACGGAAACAGATCGATTCAGCTGATGAATCAGTGAATCTCTGCTGCTGATGCATCTTTACAGGAACAGGTATACCTGTCGGCGTTCCCGTGAACTGATTCCTTCCTGCAGCTCTCCTGCTAAGCCGCCATGTTTGGTTTTCTGCTGTCGGTCAGAATGTGAGGCGGCTCATCCTCCGTCTGCAGAAATGCTGGAAATGTTTAGATTCAGGGACTCATCGGAGATCGGGTGTGCAGATTATTCGATGCAGTCAGAATCTTTGCTTGTTGATTTTCTCTGCAGGCTGATCGTTTTAAATAAAGGCGGGATGTTGTTTTAGTTTTTATTTGTTTTCTTAGTGAGAAATTATGATGTTATATTTCCTGTTAGCTTCAGCTGCTGATCTATGGAGGTCAGCCTCCCTCCTCCTCTAAGAAGCACCAACATCCTGAGGTTTACCTTCTGGACCTTTAATGATGCAGAGAGGATTCATGTCTGTTTTTATCATGACCTCATCATGACCTCATCCACCCTAACCAACCTCTGAATCTGTGACAAACTAACAGGGACGTCCAGGAACAGTTGATCTTGGTGGATTTTTAACCTTCGCTGTTGGAAAAATCAACCACAGCCTCTTTGATCTGCCTCTGCAGCAGATCCATCTATAGATCAGTCTATAGAGCCATCTATAGATCAGTGAATAGATCAGTCTATAGAGCCATCTATAGATCAGTGAATAGATCTGAGGAACAGGATCCCAGGATACTGGAGGCAGATGGGTGAAGGGGAGCAACAGGTGGAACATGAAATAAAGGGTGAAGGGCAGCAGGAACCAATCCAACAATGCAGAAATAATGACTTAGAAAGTCAAGACAAAACCACCATTAACTAAACCGCCACTAACTAAACCAGACTAACTAACCCAGACTAACTAAACCAAAACCAAACTTGCAGTTTCATGAACAATGCTAAATAATAATAATGTTCCAAAGCCTGAAAAGCTTCCTGGTTAAAAGCTTTAAAATGAGGAAAGGAAATGATCATTGAAAAAAAAAACACAGAACCAGAAAGATTGGAGTGGCTAAATGCTGCCCTCTGCTGGTGAAAGGCATTATTTATTATGTATTTATTTATCCACCTGTAGCTCTTTGAACATTGCTGAACTTCTATTAAACATATTCATCCAAATCAACTCTTAAATGTTTTCATCTTTATTGTAAAACTGATTTGATAAAACTGTCATTCAAAAGTAGATCAAACCGTTAAATCAATTTAATTCTGTTAAATCAATAAAACAAAGAGAAGATGCTATAAACACCCAACCTAAATAAATAATGAATCTATTCCATTTTCATTATTACTACTATATTTATTGTGGTAAAATCTGGGATGATGTAATGAAACTGGGTGGAGACGACTTCTGTTTCTCAGATTTTCATTGTTGGTTTCAGGTTGAAAATCAATTATCAAAATGATCAGAATCAGATATACTTTAATAATCCCAGAGGGAAATTACTTTTGTTACACGCTCCAGTTACAGTTTTATACAATATATACACACATCCAACCATACAATATAATAAAGATAAAAAATAAGAATAAAAAGAGATAAAATATATACACATATAGCTTTTCTGTATATATATCTGTACGTATATCTATGTATATGTAAAAACTAAATCCTAATAAAGTGAAAGTCCAAGTAAAGTGATACGTGGCGTGCAAACATAGTGCATGTCTAGGTGAATTTATGCATAAATTACAGGGGGGGGGGGGGGCTGAATCATTTGAGGGAGGCGTTATATAGATTGATGACCACAGGTAGGAATGATGGCGCTCTGTGGTGCATCTGGGTGGGAGGAGTCTCCTGCTGAAGGAGCTGGTCTGCTGGACCAGTGTCTCATGGAGAGGATGTGAGTCATTGTCTAAGATGGACTGAAACCTGGACAGCATCCTCCTCTCTGCCACGGTGGTCAGGGTGTCCAGCTGCTCCCCCACAACATCACCGGCCCTCCTGATCAGTTTGTTCAGCCTGTTGTTTTCAGCGACCCTCAGCCCACTGCCCCAGCATGTGACAGCGAAGCAGAGCGTGCTAGCAACAACTGACTCATAAAACATCCTCAGCATTGTCCCACAGATGTTAAAGGACTTCAGCCTCCTCAGGAAGAATAGTCGGCTTTGGCCCTTTTTGTAGACCGCCTCGGTGTTTCTAGTCCAGTCCAACTTATTGTTAGAGTACACTCCCAGGTACTTCTACTCCTCCACAGGGTCAACAGGAACCCCCTGGATGGAAACAGGGGTCACAGGTGTTTTGTCCTCCTCAGATCGACTATGAGCTCCTTAGTCTTTGTCACATTGAGCTGCAGGTGGTTCAGCTCACTCCAAGTGACAAAGTTGCCCACCACAGTCCTGTATTCACTCTCCTCACCCTTTTCAATGCAGCCAACAATTGCTGAGTCATCAGAAAACTTCTGAAGGTGGCAGGACTCAGAGCAAAAGCTGAAGTCTGAGGTGAAAAGGGTGAAGAGGAAGGGGGAGAGGACAGTCCCCTGGGGGGCCCAGGGTTGCTGACCACCCTGTCAGACACACAGTTCTGTAGGCATACTTACTGTGGTCTGCCCGTCAGGTAATCAACAATCCAGGACACGATGGGGGCCTCCACCTGCATCGCAGTCATCTTCTCACCTAGTAGAGCCGGGCGGATGGTGTTGAAGGCGCTGGAGAAGTCAAAGAACATGATTCTCACTGTGCTCGCCGGCTTGTCCAGGTGATTGTAGACTCTGTTCAGCAGGAAGATGATGCTGTCCTCAACTCCCAGGCAGGGCTGGTAGGCGAACTGTAGTGGATCAGTGAAGGGCCTGACCAGGGGCCTTAGCTGCTCCAGGACTAGCCTCTCAAAGGTCTTCATGATATGGGACGTCAGTGCTACCGGTCTGTAGTCCTGAGGGTCGCTAGGGCGCGACATCTTAGGCACCAGAATGAGGCAGGACGTCTTCCACAGCACGGGGACTCTCTGGAGGAGCATGCTCAGACTGAAGACTAGGCTAAATATATACAATATATACAGAAAAATGTGTGACAACCTGCGTGTTGCACAGAGCTGGATGCACCTTTATTGGTTGACAGCTCCAGGGCACACCTTGATTACGCCCCTCCGGCTCCAGGGCATCCCTTGATTATGCCCCTTGGCCTCCAGGGCACACCTTGATTACGCCCCTTGGCCTCCAGGGCACACCTTGATTACGCCCCTCCGGCTCAAGGGCACACCTTGATTACGCCCCTTGGCCTCCAGGGCACACCTTGATTACGCCCCTCCGGCTCAAGGGCACACCTTGATTACACCCCTTGGCCTCCAGGGCACACCTTGATTACGCCCCTCCGGCTCCAGGGCATCCCTTGATTATGCCCCTTGGCCTCATGGGCACCCCTTGATTACGCCCCTTGGCCTCCAGGGCACCCCTTGATTACGCCCCTTGGCCTCCAGGGCACACCTTGATTATGCCCCTCCGGCTCCAGGGCACACCTTGATTACGCCCCTTGGCCTCCAGGGCACCCCTTGATTACGCCCCTTGGCCTCCAGGGCACACCTTGATTACGCGCCTTGGCCTCCAGGGCACCCCTTGATTACGCCCCTTGGCCTCCAGGGCACACCTTGATTACGCGACTTGGCCTCCAGGGCACACCTTGATTACGCCCCTCCGGCTCAAGGGCACACCTTGATTACGCCCCTTGGCCTCCAGGGCACACCTTGATTACGCCCCTCCGGCTCCAGGGCATCCCTTGATTATGCCCCTTGGCCTCATGGGCACCCCTTGATTACACCCCTTGGCCTCCTGGGGACACCTTGATTATGCCCCTTGGCCTCATGGGCACCCCTTGATTACACCCCTTGGCCTCCTGGGGACACCTTGATTATGCCCCTTGGCCTCCAGGGCACACCTTGATTACGCCCCTTGGCCTCCTGGGGACACCTTGATTATACCCCTTGGCCTCCTGGGGACACCTTGATTACACCCCTTGGCCTCCTGGGGACACCTTGATTATGCCCTTTGGCCTCCTGGGGACACCTTGATTACGCCCCTTGGCCTCCAGGGCACACCTTGATTACGCCCCTTTCCCAGGAGACAGCGTCACAGAATCCAGGCAGTTTAATCCCTCCTGTCTGTGTTCTGCTGCATGGATGATAATCTGACGGATCATTAAGGAAAAGAGAAAATCCATCAAACTAACAAACTACACGCTGTGCTCCTGCGTGTCACAGATGTCCTGGAAACCGGTGACGTCACAGATCAAACATTTTCTGTAAGTCCTACAATCAAAATATCAGATTAATTTGAATGAATCATTGTGATCCTTTATAAACCGGGTCACCTGGCCACCGGCTACAGGGCCACTGGGCCATCGGGCCCTCTGTGTAAAGTCTTGCACAAGATAAAATGGCATTGAAAGCCAGTATTGGATCACTGTCCTTAGGAAACCACATGGGCCCAGTCTGGATCTTCTCCTGCAGCTGAACTCATCCGTGGTTTGTGGCTGCTCAGTGGTTTAAGCATAAAGGGGAACGCCGTTTGTTTTACGCTGGACCCTTGATTTTCCATTATTCCATCATGTTCTACTCACCCATATGAGTTTAGTGTCATTTGGAGCCGTTCTGAAGATATTCCGTTAGGTTATATCCAGTAACGTCTTCCTATGGGCAACGACTTGACGGCACAAACTAAACTGTTCATCATTTATTCTTTATGGTACGCCAGAATTCAGAACATGGAGGCCAATCACTGTCCCCCAGACATCCGCCGTTAGATTTTTATATTTATATTCTTTAAAAACAAAGCTGCACAGGTATTATGTTATCTGCGCACTGATATTTTGTCCTTTTTGAATACTTGTTATAATGCGTAACCGTAGCAACCATAGCAAGTTGATAGGAAATTTGGGATCTGCTTATCTGTTCTCCATTTTTAATTTGGATGAAATAATAGCTGCATGAATCATGACAGCAGACAAGATAGAGGAGAGCAGGAGGCGGGGTTACCAATCTACTCGCTCTGGAGAGCAGAGTTCGCTGCTTTTAGATGTTGTCTCCAAAGTCTCCAGTAGCAGAAAAAAGTCTCTAGATTTGGCGCTAGAGAAAGGTTTCACAAAACCCAGACCTGGTTTTAATTATTCTACAAGTAGTTTAGATGATCAGGTCTACACTCACCGACTCACCGAACTGTAGTGGATCAGTGAAGGGACTGACCATGGGCCTTAGCTGCTCCAGGACTAGCCTATCAAAGGTCTTCATGATATGGGACGTCAGTGCTACCGGTCTGTAGTCCTGAGGGTCGCTAGGGCGCGACGTCTTAGGCACCAGAATGAGGCAGGACGTCTTCCACAGCACGGGGACTCTCTGGAGGAGCATGCTCAGACTGAAGACTAGGCTAAATATATACTATATATACAGAAAAATGTGTGACAACCTGCGTGTTGCACAGAGCTGGATGCACCTTTATTGGTTGACAGCTCCAGGGCACACCTTGATTACACCCCTCCGGCTCCAGGGCATCCCTTGATTACGCCCCTTGGCCTCCAGGGCACACCTTGATTATGCCCCTTGGCCTCCAGGGCACACCTTGATTACGCCCCTTGGCCTCCAGGGCACACCTTGATTACGCCCCAGTATGTTAGATGTGTCTAGGTGTTGTAGTTTTTTTTTCTTATTAGAGTAGATTAAAGATGCTAAAGGTAGGGAAAATAAGTGGAATCGCTCTTTACTCATTTCCTGAACCAGAAGCTACAATCGGAAACTAACTTCAGCTTCGTGGAAGAAATGAGGTCCAGGATCAATATGCGTCGCATCAGCCTCCTCCTCCGCCTTCGTTCCACACCTCCAGAAATGATAACAAATGTCTCACTGTATTCTGAGTCCCAGCATATCCATGTTGAACCGTATAACTGTGTAGGCTTCCGTATTTCTGCAGCTGGTCAATGAGGAAGGCCGCCACATCTAGAGGATCTAATTGATGTTTTCTTCCATAGATCCATTCTGTGGAGGATTCTTCTCAATGTGTTCACTGATCTCATCCAGCGTGCAGCAGCATCAGGATCTCTCCTGTCGTAGACCGACAATAAAGTTAAACTTGATCAACTCCAGTAAACTCGCTATTGTGCTGCAGACGAGATGATAGACGAGATGATGCAGAGTGAAAAGTCCCACGATTACCTGGATAACGACGTCAGGATAGTTATCATGTTCAATCAAACATTTGCTTGGAGCGCCACCTTCATGTGTGACAGACAGTGACAGAGAAGGACTGTCAGTAAAGCGGCGTCCATCTGTTCAGCCATCTTCTCTCCACTTCCTTTAGAAACCTACTGGGAGCGAAACCTTCTTCATCGTAAACGATTCTTCGTTACTACTGACTAAAGCAGATAATTATCACCTTTAACGATATAATGAGCAAAAATGTATCTTCTCAAGTGACAGCAATATGCTTCCGTTATCAAAAACACAATTAATGAGCACAAATAAGGAATAGTTGTATTAACCATACATGGAAACAGAGTTTTATGGGGCCCCCAGGAACTTGGGGCCCTAGGCAGCTGCATAGTATTCCCCCCCCCCCCCCCCAGCTGAGCTGAAGGCGCCAGGGATGCAGAGCAGGAGGAGGGAGAACATTTAAACCATCTCCTCCATCAATCCTCTGTCAATCATCAATCAATATGAGATCTTTAGGAAACAACTTAGAACCTCATGAACTTCCGGGGCCATGACCCCGCCCCCTCACAAAAAAAAATAAATAAAAAAAAATAAAAGAATGTATAACAATCTTTTATTTTTGTTTGTTTGTTTTCCAGTCACCCTAGCAACAACAGACGCTGCTACTGGGCCTTCTCAGCCAATCATATGACACACTGCGTCTTACGTCACAGGCCGTCAGCGCGTAGGGCTGGGTTAGACCGCCATCTTGGCTCAGACTAGCAGGTTCTAGCTGAGAATCTGAGGAGGTTCCGACAAAGCGAGACCGAACCGGGGATTTCTGACTAACTGGACCGGAACCAGAGGCCCGAACCGAACCGGACCCCCGCTCCGCTCCGCCCCCCATAGAGCGGAACACCAGAAGTATTGGGCTGAAACTTAAAGAGGAACTGTTGCTCCGGTTTGGATCCATGACAGTTAGAAACTTCCGCAAAACAGCCCGAACCGAACCGGAACCGGTACCACAGGACCGAGACAGGTGATGCTGCGAGCCAGCTCGCTGTGACCGAACCGAACCGAACCGGTGCAGCCCGCTAAGTTTCAGACCGGAGCGGCTTGATGAGCGGAGCTCCGTCAGTCTGACCCGGGTAACATGTCCGCCAGGAGCCCGCTGCCCACCGTCAGCGAGCGGGACTCCGAGCAGGTGGGTCACTACCGGCGGGACACCCACAGCGGTGACCGGTCCAAACCAGGAGAACCACTGGGACCAGCTAGGACTGGTCTGACCCAGTAGAACCGGATGTCCAGTTAGAACCTCAGCTCTGGTTGTCAGGTCTAATTAGAGGAGCAGCACTGCCTGTCAGCTGGCTGAAAGGAGGCTGCAGCCTTTCTGATGCTACCAGGTTAGGGTTGGTACCCCCCCAATGTCGGTCATAGTAGCATGTTAGACTGCAGAGCTTCAATATTAGAACATTAGGGAGTGAGGGTTGTTCCAGAGGTTCTGAGTCCCACAGCCTGCCACTCTGGATCCCTGAGCCAGACCCTGAACCCCACTCTGCTCCCAGGGTGAGATGCAGCTCTGTACTGCCGACAGTGGGATGATAATAAAACCCTGGAAAAGTTCAAATATAAAGTTAATTATTAAAACTTCGAGGATCAATTAATGGGATGGAAAATCATTTTATTGATCATAAACAGAAAGATGTCCCCACGAGGGCGCTGTGGTTCTATGGACTGGACCAGGACCATCTAAACCGGACCTAACCATCTAAACTGGACCTAACCATCTAAACCGGTCCAGGACCATTTAAACTGGTCCAGGACCATTTAAACTGGACCTAACCATCTAAACTGGACCTAACCATTTAAACTGGACCGGGACCATCTAAACTGGTCCAGGACCATTTAAACTGGACCTAACCATCTAAACTGGTCCAGGACCATTTAAACTGGACCTAACCATCTAAACTGGTCCAGCACCATTTAAACTGGACCTAACCATCTAAACTGGTCCAGGACCATTTAAACTGGACCTAACCATCTTAACTGGTCCAGCACCATTTAAACTGGACCTAACCATCTAAACCGGACCTAACCATTTAAACTGGACCAGGACCATCTAAACTGGTCCAGGACCATTTAAACTGGACCTAACCATATAAACCGGACCTAACCATCTAAACTGGTCCAGCACCATTTAAACTGGACCTAACCTTTTAAACTGGACCAGGACCATCTAAACTGGACCAGGACCATCTAAACTGGTCCAGGACCATTTAAACTGGTCCAGGACCATTTAAACTGGACCTAACCATCTAAACTGGACCTAACCATTTAAACTGGACCAGGACCATATAAACTGGACCTAACCATCTAAACTGGACCAGGACCATCTAAACTGGTCCAGGACCATTTAAACTGGACCTAACCATCTAAACTGGACCTAACCATCTAAACTGGACCTAACCATTTAAACTGGACCAGGACCATATAAACTGGACCTAACCATCTAAACGGACCTAACTATGTAAACCGGACCTAACCATTTAAACTGGTCCAGGACCATTTAAACTGGTCCAGGACCATCTAAACCGGACCTGACCATCTAAACCGGACCTAACCATCTAAACCCGGACCTAACCATCAAATCTGGACCTAACCATCTAAAGCGGACCTAACCATCTAAACTGGTCCTGGACCATCTAAACTGGACCTAACCATCTAAAGCGGACCAGGACCATCTAAACTGGACCTAACCATGTAAACCGGACCTAACCATTTAAACTGGTCCAGGACCATTTAAACTGGTCCAGGACCATCTAAACCGGACCTGACCATCTAAACCGGACCTAACCATCTAAACCGGACCTAACCATCAAATCTGGACCTAACCATCTAAAGCGGACCTAACCATCTAAAGCGGACCAGGACCATCTAAACTGGACCTAACCATCTAAAGCGGACCAGGACCATCTAAACTGGACCTAACCATCTTAAGCGGACCAGGACCATCTAAACTGGACCTAACCATCTAAACCGGACCTAACCATCTAAACTGGACCAGGACCATCTAAGCCGGACCTAACCATCTAAACTGGTCCCGGACCATCTAAACCGGACCTAACCATCTAAACCGGACCAGGACCATCTAAGCCGGACCTAACCATCTAAACTGGTCCCGGACCATCTAAACTGGTCCAAGACCATCTAAACTGGACCTAACCATCTAAACCGGACCTAACGATCTAAACTGGTCCAGGACCATCTAAACCGGACCAGGACCATCTAAACCGGAACAGGACCATCTAAGCCGGACCTAACCATCTAAACTGGTCCCGGACCATCTAAACCGGACCAGGACCATCTAAACTGGACCTAACCATCTAAACCGGACCTAACCATCTAAACTGGTCCCGGACCATCTAACCCGGACCAGGTCCATCTAAACCGGACCAGGACCATCTAAACCAGACCTAACAATCTAAACCGGACCAGGACCATCTAAACCGGACCTAACCATCTATACTGGTCCAGGACCATTTAAACTGGTCCAGGACCATCTAAACCGGACCTAACCATCTAAACTGGTCCCGGACCATCTAAACCGGACCAGGACCATCTAAACCGGACCAGGACCATCTAAACCGGACCAGGACCATCTAAACCAGACCTAATAATCTAAACCGGACCTAACCATCTATACTGGTCCAGGACCATTTAAACTGGTCCAGGACCATCTTAACCGGACCAGGACTATCTAAACTGGTCCAGGACCATCTAAACTGGACCTAACCATCTAAACTGGTCCAGGACCATTTAAACTGGTCCAGGACCATCTAAACTGGACCTAACCATCTAAACCGGACCAGGACCATCTAAACTGGACCTAACCATCTAAACCAGACCTAACCATCTAAATCGGACCAGGACAATCTAAACTGTCTATTGATCCTGGTTCTACTCATCCAGAAGCTAACCGCTAAGGCTTTCTTCTACGGGTAACATTCCTTCTGAGGCTCATCAGACGCTGGGTCAGAACCTGGGTCTGGATCATGTGGTCTGGATCATGTGGTCCGGATCATGTGGTCTGGATCATGTGGTCTTCAGAGAGCTGCTGATGGCTGCTCTGCTGCTCCACCTGTTCTCCTGCTGACTTCCCATCATCCAGAGGGTCCATCTGGTCCAAAGCGGTTGGATCCAGGTAAACGTTGACCTTTGTGCTCTGCTGTCTTTTCCCAGGCTGCCTCTGGGGATGACGGGCGCAGCGAGGCGACGTCCCGCTCCGTGCGCTCGGCCCGCTGTAAAAACTCCTCTGCTGTCTCTCGAGATGATTCTCCTCAAGTGGGAAACTACCGGCTGCTGAAGACCATCGGGAAGGGAAACTTCGCCAAAGTGAAGCTGGCTCGCCACATCCCTACAGACCGGGAGGTGAGACCGCCACCGCAGACAGTTCACGGGAACTGATCTTCAACCATCATGTGTTCTGATCCGTACCTTCATCCTTCACAGGTGGCCATCAAGATCATAGATAAGACCCAGCTGAACCCCACCAGCCTGCAGAAGGTGAGACGGCGCCATCGGTTCTGAGCACCAACCAGAACCAGGTCGCTAAATCTAAACGCCTGCTGTGCTTCTGTGTCTCAGCTCCTCAGAGAAGTTCGCATCATGAAGATCCTGAACCACCCCAACATCGGTGAGTCCCTCATCCACCCAGAAGCAGACGGGCTGGAGAGGTCCAGCTGTGTTCCTGCTGTGTTCCAGCTGTGTTCCTGCTGTGTTCCAGCTGTGTTCCTGCTGTGTTCCAGCTGTGTTCCAGCTGTGTTCCTGCTGTGTTCCAGCTGTGTTCCAGCTGTGTTCCTGCTGTGTTCCAGCTGTGTTCCTGCTGTGTTCCAGTGTTTCCCCCTTGGGGGCCCCCTGTGGCCAAACGGGGGTTCCCCCAAAGGGCGGGTGTTTCCTCGCCTGGCCGCCCCGGGCTTGGGTGTTTCCACCTTGTGTTCCCTCCTTTTTTCCGGGTGGGTTTCCCAGCTGGGCTTTGGGGGGTTGTTTCCAAAAAACCCCCCGGGTTTTCCAAAACTGTGCCCCGGCTTTGTTCCCGCTTTGGGTTTGCGGGGGTTCCAAAAATGGGGGTTTCCCCCCTGCGGGGTTCCACCCCTTGTGTTCCTCCGGGTTTTCCCCAAGCTTTTTTCCCGCTTTTGTTCCGGGTTGTTCCTGCTGGGCCCAGCTGGGTTCCCCTGTGTTCCTCCCGGGGTTTCCAGCTGGGGCCCAGCTGGGGTTTGCTTTTGCCAGTTTGTGTTCCTCTTTTCCCAGCTGTTTTTCCTTTGGGGTTTTGCTTTGGGGGTTCCAGCTGTGTTCCTGCTGGGTTTTGCGGTGTTCCGTTTTGTTTTCCTGCTGGGGTTCCACTTTGTTCCCTGTGTTCCGCTGGGGTTCCGGGCTGTGTTCCGGGGCGGGGCCCCTGTGTTCCCTGTTTTGTTTTTCCAGTTTGGGGGCCCCCTCTGTGTTCCAGTTTGTGTTCCGTTTGTGTTCCCTTTCCTGTGTTCCTCCTGTGTTCCCCCTGTGTTCCTCTGTTTTCCCAGCTGGGGGTTTTTGCGGTGTTCCAGCTGTGTTCCAGCTGTGTCGCTGTGTTCCGCTGGGGCTTTGCGGGGGGTTCCAACCGTGTTCCGCTGGGGTTTCCGGGGGTTCGCTTTTGTTCCAGTTTGGGTTCGCTGTGTTCCACTGTGTTCCGCTGGGTTTTCCGGTGTTAGCGGGGTTCCGGCTGGGGGTTTCCAGCTTTTGTTTTCAGCTGTGTTCCCGTTTGGTGTTCCCCCCCCCCCCGCGTGTTCCCTGGGGTTTTTGGGGGGGTGTTCCACTGTTTTTCCGCTGGCCGCGGGTTTCCAGCTGGGTTCCGGGCTGGGGTTCCAGCTGTTTTTTCCAGCTTGCTTCCCGCGGGTTTCCAGCTGGGGGTTCCAGCGTGTTCCCCTGGGTTCCCCCCAGCTGGGGTTTCCAGCGGGGGTCCAGCGGGTTTTCCCTCCTGTGTTCCAGTGTGTTCTGCGGGTTTTTTCCCAAGCTGTGTTCCCTCCTGGTTCCACCCTGTTTTTTGCTGGGTTCCGTGCACCCCTTGTTCCGCTGGTTCCGCTGTTTTCCAGCTGTGTTCCCGGCTGTTTTCCCCGCTGCTTCGTTTGTGTTCCAGGGGCTTTCCCAGCGGGTTTCCAGCTGCTTTTCCCAGCTTGTTCCTGCTGGGGTTCCAGCTTTTTTTGTTTTCCTGTGGGGCCTTGGCCTGTGGTTCCGCTGTTTTTAAATTTTCCCACTGTTTCCCCTGTGTTCCGGGCTGTGTTCCGCTGGGTTCCGCTGTGTTCCACTGTTTTCCTTTCCTTTGTGTTCCGCTTTGTTCCTGCGGGTTTTCCCCAGCTGGGGTTCCGCTTGCCCTTCCCTGCGTTCCGCGGGTTTTCCAAAGCTGTGTTCCTGCTGGGTTAAAAGGCTGTGTTCCGTTTTGGGGTTTTTGCGGTTTTTTCCCCGCGGGTGTTCATGGTTTTCCAGTTTGTTTTCCCCCTGTCCCCCCCCGGCTGTGTTCCTGCTGGGGTTTCCAGCTGTTTTTCCTCCTGTGTTCCAGCTGGGTTCCAGCTGTGTTCCACTGGTTCCAGGGGTTTTTTCCAGGCCTTGTGTTCCTGCTGCTTTCCCAAAGCTGGGGTTTCTGCCCTGTGGCTTTTGCTGTGTTCCCGGGGTTTTTGGGTTTTTCCAGCTGTGTTCCTGCTGTGCCAGCGGTGTTCCACCTGTGTTCCTGCGGGGTTTTCCAGCGGGTGTTCCTCCTGTGTTCCAGCTGTGTTTCCGCTGGTTTTCCCTTTTTCCTGTGTTTCCAGCTGTGTTCCGGTTTTTTGGTTCCAGCTGTGTTCCAGCGGTTTTTCCCCCTGTGTTCCTCCTTTTCCTGTTTTCCCAAAGCGGGTTTTTCCAGCTGTGGTTTTGCGGTTTTTCCGCTGTGTTTCCAGCTTTTCCAGCGGGTTTTCCGTGTGGCTTTGCGGGTTTCCAGCTGTGTTCCGCTATTTTGGTTTTTCGGGTTGTGTTTTCCCAACTGGTTCCAGCTGTTTTTCCAGCTGTTTTCCCTGCTGTGGCTTTTTTTCGGTGTTCCTGCTGTGGTCCAGTGGGGTTCCGCTGTTGTTCCTGCTGTGTTCCAGCGGTGTTCCGCTTTTTTGGGTTTCCGCTTTTTCCTTTTGGGGGGTTTTCCGCTTTTTGGTTCCTGCTGTATCCTCCCCTGTGTTCCACTGTTTTCCCCGCTGGGGCCCCAGCTGTGTTCCCCCCAGCTGCATTCCAGCTCATTCCCAAGCTCCCCGTTTCCAGCTTTTGGGTTCCCCGCGGGTTTTCCCAGCTGTGTTCCAGCTGTGGTCCAGCGTGTTCCTCCGTTTTCCCAGCTGTGTTCCTGCTGCGTTCAGCTGGGGTTCCTGCTGGTTCCAGGTTTTCCCTGCTTTTGGTTTCTGCTGTGTTTCCTGCTGTTTTCCCAAGCTTGTGTTCCTGCTTGTTCCAGCTGTGTTCCCCCCTGTTTTCCCGCGGGTTTCCCAGCTGGTTCCAGCGGGTTTTCCCCGCGGGTTTTTCCCAGCTGCGTTCCACTGTGTTCCTGCTGCTTTTCCAGCTGTTTTCCCTGCTGGGGCCTCTGCTGTTTTTCCTGCTGTTTTCCCCAGCTGTGTTCCCCAGCTGTTTTTCCTGCTTTTGTTCCCTGTGTTTCCAGCTGTTTTTCCCCCTTGCCCTGTTGTTCCGTTTTGGTTCCTGCTGCTTTCCCAGCGTGTTCCTCGGGTTTTCCAAAGCTTGTGTTCCTGCTGCGTTCCAGCTGTGTTCCTGCTGTGGCTCTGCTGTGTTCCTGCTGTGTTCCAGCTGTGTTCCTGCTTTTTCCCCCAAAGTGTTTTCCCCAGCTGTTTTTCCCTGCTGTTTTCCCAGCTGCTTTTCCACTGTGTTCCAGCGCTTTTCCAGCTGCTTTTCCAGCTGTGTTCCTGCTGCGTTTCACCCTGTGTTCCTGCTGGGGCCCCGGGCTTTTTTCCCTGCTGTGTTCCAGCTGTGTTCCTGCTGTGTTCCAGCTGTGTTCCAGCTGTGTTCCTGCTGTGTTCCAGCTGTGTTCCTGTGATGGGGTTAAAAGCTGTTTTTCCGCGCGTTCCAGCGGGGTTTTCCCCCGCGGGTTTTTCCAGCTGTGTTCCCGGCCTCCTTTTTTTCCGGGCTGTTTTCCAGCTGCTTTTCCAGCGGTTTTCCCACCCAACCCTGTGTTCCCTGGGGGGTGTTCCACCCGCGTTTTCGGTTTTCCCCTTTTCCCTTGTTTTGCTGGGGCTGTTTGGTTTTTTTCCTTGGGCCGGGGAAGCTTTTTCCATTTTTTTTGGAGTGCCAGTGGGGGTCGGGGGGGCCCAAATTTCCCCGGAACCTCCTGGTTCCGCTGGCCCTGTGTTTCCCCTGGGCCTCCCGGGTTTTTAACTCTTAGCTTTTTAACCACCACCAGGGGTTTTTAGGGTTTTGAGGAGGGTTTTATGGGGCCCGGGGGGTTTTCCTCCCGGCCGGTGTTTGGGGGGTTGGTGGTTCCGCGCTTTAGGTGGCTGGGGTTGGGTGTTTTCCTGGGTTACGTTTTAACTGTTTGGGGGTTTTAAGGGTTTGGGGTTTTCCAGTGGGGAAGTGTGCCAAGGGGTTTAATGGGGAGGGTTTTTTGTGCCCCGTGTGTTTTGTGGGTTTTTTTGCCTGCCTGAAGGTGTGGTTAAGTGGGTTTGATGTTTCCCTGTTTAGGGTTTGTGTGTTAAGTTTGTTTGGGGTTAATGTTTTTTGTGGTTAACTGTGTTCCGTGGTTAAGTGTTTTGCTGTGGCTTTGTGTTTGTGTGAAGAGGTTTGTGTGGCTGGTTAGTGTGTTTGGTGTGAAGGGGGTTATGTGAAGGGGTTTTTCCAAGGGGGGTTAAATGGTTTTGGGGTTCCCAAGGGGTTTTGTGTGGTCGTTGGTTTGTGCCTGTGCCTGTGGAAGGGGTTGCCCAAGGGGCCACTTGAGGGTTTTCCCAATGTGGTTAGATGTTTGCTGGTTAGTTGCCCTGGGGGTGGTTTAAGTGTGCCCATGAAGGTGTTAAATGGTTGGGGGGTTTTTACTGTGGTTAGCTGGTTAATAAAAGTGAATTTTTTTTCCCTGTTGAAATGATTGTTTGAGGAAAGAAGGGTTTCTGCCCTGGTAAAGGGAAGACGAAATGATAATGAATAGAATTAAATCCCGGGCGGGCAAAATAAATTGGGACATAATTTGCCCTCTGCCCTTGGTTTAAGGTAAAGTTTTAAATCCAGGTGGTGGGAGGATTAAAGGGAAAAAAGAGAAGTTTAAAAGGTAACCGTCCCCCTGGAACCGGGGCCCCCCATCTTTTAAATAAATGAAACTAATAATTTTTAAACCAACCATCCTCATCCATCCTTTTACCCCCATTTCCACCCACCCCTTCCCATATCCTTTCATTTTTCCATTTTTTCCATCCATTTTAACCCATACATCCATCACCCATCCTTTTCCCATCCATCCACCCACCCATCCTTTTCATCCATCCATCCCCATCCCATCCATCCACCCATCATCCATTCTAATCCACCCCCATTTTAATCCTTTCCTTTCCTTTCCAACCCACCCTCACCCAAATCCTTTCACCCCATCCATTTACCCTTTCACCCCTTTATCCTTTTCCCCATCCTCCACCCACCCATCCATTCATCCTTCCACCTTTTATATAAATCCATTCATCCATCCACCCCTTCCATTTTTTAACCCCTTTTTTACCATCCATCCCACCCAATCCACCCATCCATTCTTTTCCATCCACCC